TCATCTTAGGCAGATTAGATTGGAAGTGAAGTGATGCTGGAATCAAGCTGAATCAGAATGCGTGCGCGCTCGTGGGGTTTTTTTCTTTTTAAATTGCAAACAAGTCTCGTTTGATCTCTTCAGATGCGCCACACATGCTTCGTTTTATTGTGCTGTTGGACAAAGGGGCTGAGTTGGATTAGACAACAGAAGCACCTCAAGGTGAAATTATTTTTCCCTCCACAGCAGGACCTGCTTATGTTCAACTTTATATTTGGTGACAGATTCAATCCAAACTTCTGGAGAGATGTTCCGCCACTCTCGTTTATTAAAAGCTGCTCTTTGCTGGAGGGAGTTGTGTTGTCCTACTGTTCTCTTCAAAATACCCCCAGAGGTGTTCTGTTGGATTCAGGCGACATATTTGTTTTTTTCTTCTTTAGAAACTCTTGTATGAATTTGTGCTTTGGATCATTATCATGCTGGAATATTCTTCTTCTACCAAAGTGTGAGATTGTCAGCCGGTATTTTAGTTTATCCACTAAATGTCATCTCCTTTTACACTCCTGCCGCCCCGTGTAATAACACTTCCACCTCCGTGCTTCACTATCAGGACGATGCATTCACTGTGGTTGTCCTGAGCAGGTTTATGTCAAACATGTTAGAACCATTTTAGCCAAACAATCTTCATCTGATGACTGAATATGTAGCCAACATTCATCAGGCTTGTTTTCGTACAACTGACATCTTGCAGATTTGTACCAAAGCATAAACAAACCGTGCCATTTTAATAATCTTATAAGTTCACAGCGAGCTACACTGTACGACATGAAGTTTAATGTGTGTCGATTGCACGATGCAAGCTGAATCTCTGCCTACGATGTGTCGACGTGAATACGCAATAACAGTAAAAAGTCATGAACGTGCGCCATCCATCCATGAAAAAGAAACGAGCGAAGCACGAACAGAGTCCTCGCCCTCGTGGTGTTCATGTGTTTGCAGAGAAATCCACTGGTTTCGCGCCAGTGTTGCGCTGATCAGTACGTTATTTCATTCTGCATTTCTATTGGTTGGTTAGTTGGCGTAGGTCGCAGCAGCAGCAGCACACTGAGATGATCAACACAAATTTCTGTTGGAGTTTTATCGCAGGTTGTCTTTAGTCTGTTGTGACAACAGCTGTCCTTGAACCGGTCTCTCAGTAGATCATCGATTTAGAGCCAAGACCAAAGGTTCATTTTGTCTACTCTTGAATTAGTGTTTAGGTTTCTTCTTTTCAGACAATAGAAATTTTAGGAGATGGTTCTTTACCTGACATGTTTTGACTGGAACTTTAGTCTTCCTCATAAGGCCCATAAGGACCACCAAATAAATGACACGTCACGGCGATCAGCTGACGCCTCTGAGGAAGACTGAAGTTCCAGTTGAAACATGTCAGGTAAAGAACCATCTCCTAAAATTTCTATCGTCTGAAAAGAAGAAACCGAAGCACCAAAACCAAAGATATCGCCACGATTCTCTCACAGTTATCTTTCATCTGGGGCGACCGTGTGCAGCGGGCTTTAGACATTGTCCTGTAGAGTCTTGATGTCATGCTATGTCCATATCACCACCTGAGCTGCCACAGAAACCCAAATGTTCATTGATAACCGCCGTGCCCAGTCTGAGGCGGCTGGTTTTCAGTTCCAGATAGCGTTATTAGTGCACCGTCTGGGGCGTCACTTAGGGAGGACGACCACTGCAGCCATGATTAGTGGCTCATTTAGTACCTCCTGATTACTGCTGCAACTGCAACAGATCTTTTCCACCTTTGTGAAGTTGCATTTCGTTTAGTTCCTCTGTTTAGAGGAGCCATGATGCAAACAGACAGAGCCCATGTCCATAGCTCATGTTATAACCATATTTAACTTGTGTGTGTTCACCTTTGTTGCATTGACTTCCTACCTTGAATGCATTTTAAATATAATCTCTCTATTGCTACATGCTGATTGTTCATGTTAGAAAACTGCTCTATTTGTCAATTATCTGGAGGTGACGCAATTTGAAATCATTTGACATTTAAGAGGTATCACCCAGGCGCCCGCTGACTTCGGCTGTTTACCGTAATCATGCTTCAGACCTCATTTGGGCTGATGTGCTGAATCGTGTGGTTTGTGTTCACATCCGTTAGGTGGATAACATCTGATCACAGGCCTGTGCATTGACACCTGGTATTAATAAGCATTCTCATTACCCTGATCCTGCTCACACTGTAATCAGATCTCATTATGCAAATGCGGTAGGTGGAGCTGGCGGACTAATTGACAAATAAGGCACGTCCCGATGCTGCTACTCGCCTCTCCCCGGGATCGAGGAAAGGGTCCTCTGTAGCCTTTTAGCAGCGCTTCCGTGAAAGAAAGAAAAAAGAAAAAGAAAAAGCGGAGAAGTTTGGTGACCTTTCAGCAAGCGGGGGCAGACTTTTTCATCAAGAATGTGGCCAAACAGCACAGATTGCTTTGGTCTCCACCTCCAAATGTGGCGAGGTCGATGTGAAAGCAATCCAGCTGGAGAGCGTTCTGCCGGCAGCGTGCGCTTTACCTCACATAGATATCCACATACAGTGTTTTTCGAAGGGCATTAGGCGCATTTTGTCCAAGATTTTGAAAGTAGATGTGGAAAATGAGGCTCAAGCTAGCTGAGGGTCCTGGACTTAACCTGTGAACCACAGAGCATCCTGGACAATGAGCAGGTTCTGGAAATATTGGATTTTATGTGGTTATTGCACCATCAAGATAAAGTAGCAGAAACCATCTCCTATCAGTACCATCCATCCTTCGTGAAAGCACATAACCGAGCTCTTATTTATGCCGATTCGTCCGTTGCGTTGCCCACACATGAGCAGCCGCCTTATTTGTTCAATCTCGGCTGTTCAAGTGGCGCACTCATTCCATTCTCGCCTCGCGTCACGGTTGTCACATACCCAACGGAAACCGGAGGCGTAAAAAAAACGGCTCCAATAAGCTGCTCCGAACACGTTTAATCACTCGCGCGAGATTGGACGTGGGCCGCGGCGGCTGCAGTGGGAGTCGAAGTGCAGCCTAAGTGCAGGCTGGAGAAATGGATGGAGACGCCTGATAAACATGCTCGTGCCATGAAGCTGTCATTCCCCGTCAGGAGAAAGGAAGAAAAAAGAGCGAGCCCGCTCCCCCTCCGCTCTCCATTTCTTTACCGAACGACAAGATGACAGTCGTCGGTTGATTGGATGACAGAGACAGGCTGCGTCTTGCTGACAGCGCTCGCCGTATACCCTCGATAAAGTCATCCACACCTCTGCCGCCGCTTATCCTCTGCCGGTGGAAGATTAGCGAGACGTATGCGGCCTGGACACGTCGGCCACGGAACGCATTTACAGCCACATAAAAACGGACAAGAGCCTGATATCTGAACAGATGTAGGGTTTAAAGATGGCGGCCGGTGGCTCAGAGAGTGGAGAGCTGATGTTCTGACCCCAACCGGTCGAGGCAGCTGGCCGCCTTTCCTGAGCCCGGTTCTGTCGGAGGTTTTTTTTTTGGTTCCTTCCCACCGTTGCTCAGAGGGAGTCCAACTGGATTGTTGGGTTTTCTGTTTGAAATTCGTCTTTTTTTATCTTGAGGGTTGTGAGAGTTGTGAACCGCGCTATATAAATAAAGTTGAATTGAATGTTATCCCCCTTTTGTTCCCCTTTTTACTGTCTCTCTTTGGCTGATCACAACAAATCAAGGCCATCGTTAAAAAAAAGTTTTAATATATGATTTATTTAAGCATTTTTCTGTGCGTTTTATATTTAGCAGCATTCATAGACTGTATATATATCATGGACTAAACCTGCCAGTTTGGGGAAAAAAAAAAGGCCAACATGGAAATGACTTAAACCTGCATTCTTTCTAACAGCCAGCAGGGGGCGACGCTTATCGATTGTATGGGAGTCTATTAGAAAATAACCCAACTTCTTACTTGATTTGTCACCTCAGTAAACATGTTTCTAATGGTTTTATGGTCTCAATCCTTAGTTTCAAGTGTCCCTCAATGCAACATGATGTTAATTTTATATATTTTGGTTCCACTTAGAGAAAAATGGAGCTTATAGGCGTCGCAACCTCGTGATTTAAGAAGTCACTTCCATGAGTGGTTCTCAGTGAGATCCACTCTTTATTTCTTACATGTGGTTTTAAATCTAAACTCAACGCTTTAAAACAAAACTCCACAACCCAGTGGGTGGCTCAGTCCGTCTTTACATCCAGTCTGTGGGGTTGTGTGTAATCAGTAACCTTAAGTGAAATATTTTCCCGATTCTGCATGAAAGCATCACCCACTCATGTCATTTACATTTGATTTTTGAAATAATTACACGTTCCCACTGTGATCCGGGCTCAAGCACTGGCGCTAAATTGAAGTGGTGTTTGAGGGCATCCTTGTCGCGTTCTACTTTCCCTCGTAAAAAGCGGGGGAACTAATTTGTAAAGATAACACTCGGTGATTAAAATGAATGCGGAGCTTCCTGGCTTCGCATTTGCATGTCCTTCAAGCCACTGACCTTAAAATCACAGCGACGAGCACTTCTAGATTTGACTCCGCGCAAATTGGCCTCACTAAGATGAACAATCGCTGGAGCTCCGGCACTTGACAGGAATTGAATAGTTTATGCACAAAAGAAAAGCGCCGCTTGGTTTTGATGTCGAAAGCACGGCTCCTGTCTTGCCATTGTTTGTGTGGATTTAGCCGAAATCAGACAATAGCATTACGGTTTCATATCACTGTGTTCCGCTCCTTTGTGTGTGTTTTTTTACCAAAGCTGGGTCAAAATGTTATTTGAAATCCCCGTGGGATTACCAACAGAAGTAGCTTTTTTTTTTTTTTTTTCACAAGGGCACTTTTGAAAATGCTACCCTGCACCATCGAGCCGGAGATTTCTTGTAGAATATAGTCGCCTTTAATCTACATTCACGTCATTACCTCTCAGGGTTTATTAACGGCAGGTGCTATTTCTTGTTCTGTTTCTGTGTCTGCAGTCCCTCCGGTGTTGTCCGTGTCCCAGCAGTCCTTCAACGCCACAGCCGACTACCAGGAGTCGGTCACCTTTACCTGCATCACCTCTGGATCTCCCGACCCCGTGGTCACATGGCACAGGTACCTTATACATTCTTAATACCCGACATCTGTCTCCGGCACGCAAGCTCGGGGAGAGAGAAAACAGGAGGCTTTGAGAGGCTGAAGGAGAATAGCTGTGTACACAAGTGGACACCCAACAAAAAATAAAAACTGATATCCCGTGTGTGATTCCTTTCCAAAACCATGAGCATTAATCTGCTATTATAACAGCCTCCGCTCGTCTGGGAAGGCTTCCCGCAAGATCTTGGAGGCTGGTTGCAGGGATTTGCTCCCATTCAGCCAAAAGAGCATTAGCGAGGTTCAGCACTGATGTTGGGCGATAAGGCCTGGCTCGCGTCGGCGTCCCACTTTATCCCGTAAGTATTGGTTGATGTCGGGTCTCCGTGCGGGCCAATTCTTTCACACCGGGCCGAGAAAACCACTTCTGTATGTACGTGGCTTTGTGGGAAAGGATTGTGGTGTTAAAACAGGAAAGGGGACGCTGAAATTTAGAAGTATGCTCTTTGTTTAAGATACTGAACACTGTTTTTAGCCCAATTGAGGGTTTTTTTAGACGCTAGAATCCTCATCATATATCGAGAATAAACAGTCAATACCATAGTTGTATATCCTAGAAGTGTCGTAACCTGATGGAAGTCTCATGGATTGGAGTTTCCTACGTAGAAAACCCGAGGACTTGACTTTCTGTTCCGTTATTCTTCTTGAATGACTGAAATACGTAGAGGAGTTGGGTTTAAATAAAGGTTTAGGTTAGCTGGTGTGCTCGAGCTGCAATGACTGGAGGGAATTTTATTAGTTTTTATTTGATTTATTTCAGACATGACGCAGTATCATGAAAGCAAAAGAGAAAATAAAACATGTGAAACCAAAAAACAACCAAATCCAAACCTTAAAATAACATCTGAAAACGCATAGTTAGCTTATTAGCTTCTACCAGCTACATCTCGTACCTTCCTGTTTGCGTCAAACCTTTAACTTGTACACCAGGAGTCCCTTTACCTCTCCACACTACTACATTTTTCCAGCAGTGCTTTTTAAGCGTCCCCCATAAACTCCTCGTGGTGCTACGAGCAAACGGCTTCAAAATCAAAAGTGCTTCTTAATTTTTCCAGGTGTTGCGTCTCAACAGGTGTTTCATGTTCTCAGGGGGTAACTTGTTGTTTGCTTTGAACAAATTGGACTAAATCGATAAATTTCCAAGTTTTTGTTTTGTAGAAACAATATATGAGTGTGCTGGTTGTGTCCCTCATTATCCTAAAAGCTTTTTTTTTTTGTTATATTTTTAGTGGATATGAGGGAGTATTAGACGAGCTACCCCACACTTCTGTACAGTAGGTCAGGAAAAAGCTGAATTCAGAACGGGTTTTGTTCTAATTTATTCTCACATGCTCCTTTTTTAATTTAATGATAACTTACTCCTGTTTGAACTCTAAGTTGTCTTTGGAGTGAAAAATATTTGCATCATCTACAACTTCTCCGTCCATCCATGCGTTCCAAACATAAAGAATCAGTTTAGTGTTACAGTCAAGCCATTTTAGGGATTATTTCTTCTAGAAAAAGCTTCTAAATGTGTGACTTTGATGCCCAGAGATGAGTTAAATCAATGACCGGTGAAGGACTTTGAGACTAATTGGAACCAACAGGCCTCTGAGCAAACACTTGCTCGGCCACATAGAGTAACAACAAACCCAGCGTTGTGTGGTTGATGAATCACTTCACCTGTTTCCAGACGACAGAGCGTGTAGCATTCTCCACTACCGCACAGGAACCACAGATGTTAATGCAACCTTGAGAAAACGTAACGTCGTTCCAGATCGAGCAGATTTTCCTTCACAGCCAAGAGCTCGAGAACCCCAAAGTCCTCTTTGCGTCTCGACACCGGGCACTTAGCTCGCGCCCACTCGGCGGGCGATGGTGACGAGCTCCTCGCATCGATTGTCTTGGAATTAAGTTTATTTTATCTTTTGATGCTTTATTTTTGCAGATAATTCATTTGTTCTTTTTTATGTATATTTTAGCTCATTTGGTGCAACATTTCCTCTTCCTGCTTCCCATGTTCGATGGTGGCAGCCATTAATTTCACCCGAAAGCCTTCTCGATCCATCGCGGCTTCCCTTTGCCGTCACCGTTGCAGACGCGCTTCTACCTCGGGCAGGTTGCTTCGAGTTGTTTTTCACACCGTATAGAATTGAATGAAAATCAATGGGCGCCTGCGAGCAGCCGTAGGGAAACGCATTGTCAAGAAAACATCAATACTCTGAACTTCTTTCTGGAGAACTCGTCAGCTTTTCTATAACCGACGACAAAAGGGAGGATAAAGAAAGAGCGGGATTGCAGCTCTGAAGCGAACATAACGACGCGTTTAACGTCCTTTCGTTCTTTGATTCGTGCGGCGTTTTCGAAAAGTGTGGGAGTTGATTACCGCCAGAGGTTCATTTAATTTGTTTTTTAAAAAATGCCATTAAATTTAAACGCACTTAAACGATCCGTAATTGTCGCCGAGTTCATTAATTACTCTTTTCTTGCTCGATAATTGTTTAATATAATTCAGTCGGCGGTTTGTTTTGGAGCACAGAAACCAGAACCTGTCAACAAGGAGATGCTTCGTAATTCCTCACTTTCACAAAGATTGCGACGACAGAAACGTTGGAGATGCTTTTATGTGATGTTTTCTCTAAGATTTATCCTCTAAAGCTGTTTCACAGTGGATTTTTTTTTTGCTCTTGTTGCATGTTTACTCATTCTTTGCTGCTATATGAAGCCCTGCACCTCTATGGAAACACAACAACCATAGAAAGTAGACATTTTGTGCAATATTACGCAATTTTAATGCCGTAAATCGTACAAAAAGAAAAGAAAAGGTTGAGTTCCTTTGGTTACAAAGCATGAATGCATGGATCATCATGTGCTGGTGGCTCTGCATGCTATAGATTCACATTATACATTTGTTTTCATACTTGTTTTCTGTCTGTTTTGTGTAAACACGACCTCCAGTTCAGCCATTTTTACAGAGTCTGTACAGCTTATATTTGGCACAGGTTTGAAAATTCGCTGATTCTTTCTGTTTTAACAGTTTCTGGCTCCGATAAACGGTGTCATTTTGGTGATTTCTGTTAAAGATAAGAAGCTTGTCAAACCCGTCGGTGTGTTTTGTGGTTCATGGGGTTAACTCAGAGCCACTAGCGGAACAAATCAGAGCCAGGTCGGGGGCGGGGCAAAAGACCGGGCCCTTTAAACCCAAATAATAAAGCTCACGATGACATCATTTTACAACATACACAAGCTTCAGCACCACGGAGAGCGGCCATGTCATTCTGAAGTCCATCAGACGGACATGAAGTAGAACCAAGAGAACAACAACAACATGAGGCTACATGGTCACTGATGATAAAACAACACAAACTCAGAGCAGTTCAGCACCACGGATAGCAGTTATATAACAAAAAAGTCCGGTTCATGTCCAGGACGATGAACAAAACATGTGTCCAGTTTCTGTAATCTGGCTTTTCCTGCTCTTTCTGTTCTCTTTCTTTTCTCTTTGCTGCTCCACTTCTATGCTGATATGAAGCTCCACTCATGTTAACTTAGTCCGTAAAAATGCTCGACTGAGTTCACAACCTGTTGACAAGTGACTGATGAAGACGTTGGTGGACGGTTGGTGACGAGTTTTACCCAGAATACACTTGGAGACAATATCGGCGATCAACTTGTGAATTTGCGCATAATAAAGTTTAATGTGAGCTAAAATAAAGCAATTCATGCAGGACAATATTTTATTTGTTGCCTCTGCCGCCCCTCCAGCCCCCCTGAAGCCCCGGCCCTGCTCAGAGCTAATACAAGTTGGAATCGTAGCTTGAAGTCGATCGTAGCAGGAAAAACGAGGCGTCGCTTCGCAAACAACATTTAAAGACGCCGCAGCTGGAAACGACTTTGTAAAGCTCATTCGTCTTGCTCGCTGGTTTCCAGCAATCGTATTTACTCACCTTGTCTTCAACAGAGCAAAACAGGAAAATGTGATTTTAATGATTCAACAGCATGACGAGTATTAGGCAGCAGATTTCACAGTGATGACGGGGGGAAGAGCTGATGTGCTGATTTGTCGTTCCCGTCACATCGAGACGATCCCTCTGACGGCTTTGTTCATCTGTCTTTGTGTGTTGGACGTTGGAATTTTACAAAAAAAATGCAACTGAAGTCAGCAGCCTGTTCATCTTAAGACGTCTCTACAGTGTTTGCTTGTGTTCTCCACCTGGTGAGACGTGGAATAAAAGAGGCTCAGCTCCTGAAAGACGCTTGTGATCAGTCTGACGTTCAAAGATGGTTGAAAACCGGCCCGCGGAGGAGCTGTGATCACATTTTTATCACAAAAATAGTCTCTTCTTGCAGTGTCTGGTGTCTGGTGTCTGTTTTCACACTATGAAGGCGGAACAGCACCATTAACTGTCACGTTAGCTTGCATGCTAACGGTTCACATGCTAGCAAGGAAGAAGAAGTCACAATAGCTCGTCTAGTGCATCTCTTTATCCCGTTTTTCCTGCATTGTGGTGTTCATCCTCTCATTTTTGTTCTCGCAATTTAATTTGATAAAGGCTAGGCTCGTCATCAAGCTAGCTAGCGTGCTAACTGTCAGCTCGGCGGGAATACAAACACGGCCGAGTCACGCCATCAATTCTTCTCTCGTCTGCAAACTCATTAGCGGTTTATTCGCTGACAGGGGAAGGGTGATGGCGCAACACCGCTAATAAGCTAGCGTCCTCCATTTTGGACTCTTCAAAGAATCGCCGAGAACCGAGCGCTGAGTTCAAAGATGGGGCCCAATTTATTCCCATGAAAGTGCCGCCGCATTGTTGTTTTTCCACATACGTGTCACCTCATAGGAAATGTCTGTAGACTGTATGGATTTTCCACCATTTAGCCCAACGATAAAGAGCTTCCATTCGTTTATTTGCTCCTGTCACATTTTTACCCGCTGCACCTTATGAAAGCAACCGCAGCTAGAAGTGGAGAGAAAACGTCTTGATTGTGCAGCATAATTAACTTCTAATTTCATCAATCAGAGAAAAAAAACACAAAAATGTGCTCAAGATTTTTCCCAGTGCCCACATGTGTTACCAGGACTGGAATGCATACTGTATATGTTTTACTATTTCAGATATTTTCTTGTCTTGATTACGGCTGAGTTGCTAACGACTTCCTGGTTGCACCAAGGAGCACCGAATTTGTACAAAATCCCAACTTTTTTTTGGCAAAAATGTAAAAGTGACTCGCAGATTAAAGTGATTTTGATGATTTTAAGTTTCCCGAGTTGTTCAGATGCCAATTAAAAGTTGTAAATCTGCTTAATGTTTCTGTTTTTACAGATTCAATCCCTGATAAATGGTGTAGTTTGGGCTTTTTTATTTATTTTTAAACCAACATGCTTTCAGATCTGCAGGTTTTGGGGGTTAAATTGCACCTTGATGTACATAAAAAGTTGTGGATTATTTCTAAATGTCAACACCGACATGTGTACGCTCAGTCAGGTGCTGCAGATTGTGTTCTGCTGTGAAGTTGCAAAGCTCAATTTTAGGGACATCTGCTTTGTCATCGGTGGCTGATTCTTATATTTCTTCAATTTCAAATGTTGCCTCGTGCACACTGGACGCTGCCGTCTTGATATCTCACACACAGGTAATGACGCTACCTACATACTCGCTGCACTTATGGAGCCTCATTTTCTCAGTTGTAAAAATGCTAAAAGCCCATTTGTGTTATATTCTGACATCAAAAACCAGCCTGTTGTTGGGTTTGTGCATCACAGGACGACGCCTTCTTGCAACATATCACCCCTCGTGGCTTCAGTGGCGTCTTTCACCGCCAAGTAAAGTTAATTACGACCAATAATCTTGCACTTGATAACTGATAAATCGGCTCAATCAGTGAATCCGCTGACCGCTTGAGTTTACCTCCATCAGAGCTGAACACTGCCTGTACACCATCCATCTAACTAGAGGCTCCGTTCACTCCTGTGTCCTCCTACTTGCTTTTAATACTGGCTTAATAAAACAGTAAAGCATTCGTGAAGGGCAGACGGCCGCCTCTGACTCCCCTCCAGCCGTACGGCGGCACCGATCTTCAGCTCTGCAGCGTCCACATCAAACACCGCGGCGCATTCTCCCTTCATTTCCCAGGTCACCGAGCCCCGAATTAAAACGCAACAAAGGAATCGGCCGAGGCACAAACAACAAATCACAACCCAATTTAGCTTTTCTTTTGATGTCCCCCCCTCCCCTCCCTCTCGCCTCCCAGCGTATCCCGGTTGCATTTCCTGTCGGCGCGACGTTTCACCTCGTCCGCGGTGCGTGCTGGGTAATGGACTACCTGTCAGCAGTCAGTCAGCATAATGACATTCAGCGCCGCCGCACGTCCTGCACTGTCCATTCCAAAGATGAGGCCTCTCTTCATTTCCTCTTTGGCTCGCCAGAGTTATTATTACTTGGCTTTGGTGTTTCCTCCGTCGACTTTCAATTATCCTCCCTCTCGCTTTTCCTACAGTACGGCGGCGAGGCGGCGCCCGGCCTCGACGCACCGCGCTTCTGCATTTGTGTTTGTTTCCGTCTGAGCCTGGAAATCTCCTCATTTGAAACCCCTAAAATAATCATATTCTTGTCATTCACGCAGCAGACGACACGGTGGGAATAAAACAGCAGAACTCGCGCTGTATATTTAGGGACGTGCGTTTTCCTGAGCTCTCATCTGCTTCGGATTCAATTTAAACAAAAGCTTATTGGGTTAAAACAACAACAACAAAAAAACAGGCTGACACTTTAAAATAGAGGGCACGATGCATATTGGGTAAAAAATAGAAATGTGTAATATTTCAGGGTTAAAATAGCATTCTGGGCGGATTAGTAATAAATTGGATAATACTGCGACAAAAGCTGCAACCCATAAACATCACAACAGATTTGTGTGTGTTCAGCGATCTGTGCTTCACATCCACAGAAAACCCAGTGCAACATACAGACTGTGTTGGTTTTAAAGTGAGAAGTGAATACAAGGCCTGCAGTAAATGCACATTAAAAAAATGTTCAAATGTATTCAATAATATCATAAATTAAGGAAGAAGCTGCAGTGACTGGTGCATGTGCAGGCGCTGGGCTGAACTTAATTGACTTGTTTCGTCTAAATCGAGTCGTTAAGATTCAACTTTGCAATTCAGACCTTATTAAATGATGTGGCTCCTCAGACATGACGGTGAAATGCAATGATCACAATAACCTGCAGAGCAGAGAGGGGCTATATCAAAGCAACATCATGCAGATTGTTAAGGAGTTAGATTTCAGTATATTTTGCCCTCTTGGGGACAACAAAACAAGCAATAATTACAACAGTGACAACACAATAGCTAACGTGTTAGCAAAGAACTACCTATTCATGCATGTGGCAAATGGACAGCACCATTAGCATGAAGCTTTTGGCCAACTTGAGTCTAGATACGAGTAAAAGTACTCATTCACTTTACTTGTGGCTCTGTTTTTGGTCTCCACCAGCGTTGCTTAGCTGCTAAATGCTGCGTCGTATTCACCTAATCCCAAACTTTACCTTTCCGCACTGACAGCGTGGTGATAAATAGCGGGATGGTCCGCCGTTGGTGTCATAAAACAAGTGAATCCTTCATGTTGCCGAATCCTTGAAGTAACAACATGACCAAACGTGATCAGATTCACTGGGATGTCATTGTATGTTGGAAATGTGTTTGTAACTTGTGAGGAGTTCATACTTCACATGTCTTGAGTGCAGCTTAATCCCATTGAAATTCAGTAACTGAGCTAATCCTTTTTCTTTTTTTTTTAAACCTGCATGCAGATGACATAAAAAGCACCCATGAGTTTGTCTAAATCTGTGTGAGCAAGACGAGAGGAGAAAAAAAAAAAGTCAAATTTCCCCCCCAAACTAAGCAATCCCTTGAACCTTATAGATTACATGGCTGGTTAAGCAGCTGCAAATAAACAAGCGTGGGAGGCGGCAGACCTGCTTCACACCATTATGCTTCTGCTATGAAGCTTAAATATAGACATGGATCAATTTAGCAGTTGCTTTTTTCTGACTAATTTCCCCGCAGAGTCCAATAAGAAAAGACATTAAGTCAGCACTGTATTCCGCACCACGCCGGGGTAATTTAGTGTGCTGCAGTCCAGAACAGAATGTACACAACAACAACAGCACCGCGAGTGAGCTCTGACGGGACTCAAACACCCGACTGCGAATGGGAAGATGGTGTTTTTCTGCATGGCGGAGTTTGAGAAGTTGCGGCGTGTCGAGAATTTCGATGACACACAACAAATGATTCGTTGAACTATTTCAATTATAGCATGTCTATCCAGAACAATTCTTTCATCGCGCTCGAGAGGGTTTCTATAAAAAGTGCTGTCATGTTTTCACCTGTTTATGCCGCTATAGATAGAAATAGCTTCAAACCCAAGCTGTCTGCACTTAGCCTCCCTTTTATGGGATCAGTTGACACCCAAAGTGCAGAGATTATACATCTGTAGCTTCAAACGTGAGCTGCGGCGGTTGTTTTCGGAGGTCGCTGTCAGGTGATTTTATTTTTTTCCCCCCCCGCCTTCGCTCATGTGTGGCTTTTTTTATTTTTGCGCAGGAAAGGGCAGCAGCTGGTGCCGTCGGAGCAGCACGTTTTCAACAGGATGGAGGGCGGACGCAGCATGTTAACCATCCGCAACATCCGGCAGGGCGACGGAGGGACCTACTCCTGCAAGGCCACCAACAAGGCGGGATCTCAGGAACGGGAGCTCTTCCTCAAAGTGTTCGGTGAGGATGTTTGGTCATTGACACGAGGCCTCGAAAACCAGCATGAGAAGCCCAGTAATTAAGGATTGACAGGTTAGATGTAGTCGTGGAGGATTCTGGGGCGAATCTGTGGGGAGACGATCAGATCAGGTAAATCAGGTTGTAGGTTTTAGTTCTTCGGTAACCCTGGTGTGGTTTTGTTCTTTGGATGCTTCTCATGCTGGAGTTTTAATCTCCTGCCAGCTGGAAGTCATCCTATCAGCCAGTGTTTTGGTCATGGTGCCGTCCCATCTCCGTTCTTCACCGTCAGGACCATGCGTTCAAACATCTGAGCAAAGCTAACGTATCCCAGACCAAAGACTGTGCTCCCATTATTCATCAAGCTTCCTGTCTAGAGATGTCCGATATTAGCTGTTCTACCAATATCCAATATTGTCCAACTCTGAATGTCCGATATCAACCGATACCGATACATGTGGGCTATTTAGCTGATTTTACATCCAGGCCTGGTCTGAATAACAATATCTGGGCTCCGGATATTCGGGCCTAATCAACAACGAATATGATGGAATATTATTCATTTATTTATTTGTTAACACAGTAAAGGAAATGCAAACAAACTCAACAGTAACACCACATGTCTCCTGTCCTGTTGTTAGTCATGGAAGGCAAGCATGTTGTTCAGTTTGATGACATCATCATTGCGCGCCGGTGAAATAGAGGCATTATTGTATCGGTTTCCATTATAGGCAAAAAAACGATAACGATAATAACCGATATTACATTATCGGACATCCGCTGTCCTTTCATGTGCGTCATCAAAGTTCCAGTTTGGTACCAAACAAGGAAGCAAAGGTGTTTTTTCTTCGATCCCCATCCGTGGAGCTTGACATTAGGAACTGTCCTGAGCTGCAGCAGCTCTGGCTTCCACTGAAAACCCTTGAGCCAAGTCTTAAGCAGTTTGCCGTCAGTAGATTGTGCAAGTAGTGCGCTGTTAATGACGTTGTTTTAGCAAGATGACCACTGTGACTCTGGTTAGTGGTGTCATGACTTGTTCTATACCTCCTGATTACTGCTGATCTTCTTTTATCCGTTTCTTGAAGTGTGTTTTTTCAGTTCCTCTGGTGATTCTGGAGCCATGATCCAGATAGAAACAGCTCCACGTTCATGCAGTGAGGCTGATTGAAAATCAAAAGTCGACGAACATCTTTTCTAACATCCTCATTGTCTGTTTTTTTTTTTTGTTGCGTTCAGCTTCTTTTGTAGTTCAATGAATCCTTTCTAAAGAATTAGTTTTTGCTTGTTCGTCAGAGGAACTATGCGTGAGGGTGTACTCACTTCTGCTGCAGGCTGTTCACAGTTTCTCTCAATGCCACCGCTAAGCACAGAGAATATTTCTTCAGTACCTGAGCTACGTTCACCTCCACTGTACCGAGGTGGCGGCACAAAAGACGGATATCTCAAAAGCCAGACAAATAAAACCCAGACTATCTGGAAAACACACCGTTTTCTGTCCTTTTATCAACTTTAAGAAAGCTTCCTATCGCTTAAAAAGTTTGTTTTCATTCCCCATTATCTGTTATTTTGTGCACCAGCGGAGATGTTAAATGGAATGGCATTGTCCACAACAGCGAGCGAGCCGGTGTTTTATGTCCAACCATAAAACCTGATTGTAAGAAATTCAAATTCATGTAAAAAAAATATTTTTCCGAAGCACAAATCACCGACCGCGGCCCCTCAGGTGCACCAATGGGATGCCACTAAAGCGGGAATCTTTCATTTATTGCTTCATATTTCAATTACTGCACCCCCCTCGTAAAAAGAAAGAAAAAAAAATCTATTTATATTTTCATAAACCTGCTGGCTATTTCCTCACAGATCAGCCCGATAGCGCTCATGAAAATGTATGGAGATTTGTGCTCGAGTCATCAACATCCTCTCCAAGATGTGAGAAGCGCTTGTTCTTCAAAATGCACATTTAAATGAAGACGTTAGGACGGAGGAAGGGGGCAGTAAGTTAGTTTTATTGCCCCTGACAGCACATGCGGGGAGGGACACGGGGTGTTTAAGTTGGACGAGGTGTGTTCGGGCGTTGCATCATCCGCTTTCACTTCTACATGCAAGTCAACAAACAGGTTAAAGTAAACTGTTGAAATCTATTCATACCTGTTTCACACTTCAACACTTTCCACATTGGGTCGCCTCCCTCGCGCCCTGCAGCTGTAAACGCCACAAGTCTGTCAGTCTTCGGGGATTAAGTCCAGCGCTTTTAAGGCTTTGGGCCATGTGCTGCTGTAGGGGTGGAAAAAAAAAGAGAAGAAGTCCATTTGCAGGGTGAAGGAAGAGCTACTGTACGTACGCTCCTCGGCTCAGCGTGTGCTAGCAGCGTAGCTTCAGGGATGCTTGGCTGGTCGCTCAGCCGCTTTGGTCCAGGATGAAATATCTCGACAAGTGTTTGGTTGCAATTTTGTGCAGCCATTTATTCTGAACTTTTACTCTTGGTTTTCGTTTATTCTTGCAATTACTGGCCATGTAATTTTGCAAAATACACATTGATTAGTGCTGCTATTGTAGGTTTTTCCTGGTTTGAATGGGTCTAAATTGAATACAAACAAAGGCCACCAGGATGAGTCTGCACAGTGTGACCTTATTTGACAGAAGAAAATACATTTTTCTGTTGTTTTGGACCATTTGATGAACAAAAATGACTAATAGGTGAAACCAAATTACAAGAAATGATTCAAAAAATAATTTTCTAGTTCTTGTAATGTTGCTTTTCCTCTTTCAGGGGCAACAAAAATTCCTCTCTGATGGATAAATTCTGCTTTAAGATCAGAATTTTATTTTGCGTAATTCCTGCTGTCTGTGACAAATACCTACAAAGCTAATGACTGCGCTTAAATGCTAATTAGCAAGTGTTAGCATGCCCCAAACTAAGATGTTGAACACGGTCAACATTATACCTGCTGACAGTTAACATATTAGCATTGCCACTAGCTCACATTGCTATTAGCTCAAACCATCGCTGCATTTAGCATAGCTTCACAGAGCTGCTAGCTGTAGCTACATCACACTTTTTTCTCTTCATACTTAAAAGTCGGCAACAAATTTTCAGCTACCTGAAGCATCCATAGACTGTATGTAACAGGTGGGTGTGGCCTCTAAAAGTAAAGCAATGTGAGAGTGATTTAAACTTGCATTCCTTCTAACAGCCAGCAGGGGGCGACTCCTCTGGTTGCAAAAACAAGACAGATGGTGTGAAAGTCTACGAGAAAATGAGCCTGTTTCTTACTTGATTTGCTACCTCAGTTAACATTTTCCTCATGAGTTTATGGCCTCAGCAGCTTCTTTCAAATCTCCTTCAATACATATACTGTTTATGTTGTGAATTGTCATCCAACTTAGAGTAAAATCGATGATAAACCATGGCCTGCTTTAGAGCGGGGCAACCAAATCTAATGTCCTCCTCCTTCTAATACAAGATAGTAACTGCTAAAATGTCAAATTTAAAGGTTCAGAATGGTCCAAAATAGCATTGGTGCAATTAGTCCAGTATGATTGATGATGTGGATGTTGCAAATGCATCAACATGAGTATGTAACTGATCCTTTTTATTCATTTATTTATGTATTTTTGCGCCATTTTTGTCTTCAGTCATTGGTCAGCTGCAGTCAGGGCTTTGATATAATGGTAATGGCGGCAAAGTCAGACTTGGCTCAGAGGTGCGGCAGTGCTTTGACCCGCTAAAATCAAGATTTTATAACCAAGACCTCGTCCAACAAACCCACGAGTTAAAGATGCCGATTTTGTTTAATGAATTCAGCTGCGTTTTCATAGCATTCTAAGCCACTACCAAGGTGGCTGCATCCATCCTCTATTGTATACGTGTTAGCATGCTAGCATTAGCAGGTATCCCAAAGCCTGCAAACAGCCCCAGAGGGCCGCTGGCTTTAGCTGCATCACATTTCTGGGTGGGGGGACAACAGTTTGATATTTTCCAGCTTTAAATGTCAGGTTTTGGTTAAAGAGCTGCAGTTTTCCAGCAGCAGTCAGCAGTCGTACAGCGAGACATTCGTCATGGAAGAAGAAGAAGAAGCGGTATCGCTGCAGAAATAATCTTTCGACTCCTCTGCAGCTGGCCGCAGTTTGCATTTTTTAAGATCTACTGTCGGCAGCGTGTGAAATACGGCGTCGACTTTAATGGCTTTTTCATTTGTAATGTGAACAGCTTAGCCGAACAACTTCCAACGTTCCTCTTTTTGTCCATTTGGTGCGATTCTGCGCTCTTTGCGGGAAAGCAGACGAGAACAGTTCATCTTTTTTTTCTTTTTTTAACTCGCAGGCCGGTGATAAACTGTGTCATATAACCCAACGGCGGATTGTTTTCCTGTTAAACCCTTTAAACTTTGTCGCTATAGGAGGCGTCGGGAGAGAATCTGAGCTGACATTTGCTTTGTGGATCTGGAAAAAAAAAGAGAAAACAAACATTATCATTATCAGATAGAGCCGGCGCCGTGGTTTCGCTTTCTGATGCCTGTCAGTGGGTGGGATAAGAGCTTTATGTAATACCTAATATTACTATAGACGGGCTGAAAACACTGTTTAGCTGCATCACGGGGGCTTTTTGCCGCATTACCTGCATGCAAGCAGCTAAGAAATGTCAACGTAAACACTCTTCCTTGGCGACAATGAGTCAAGCTGTATATTTATGTCAACTTCCTGACACGTTAATGGCTCTTTTTTTTTTTTAAAAAACAGATTGAGATTGTTTTTTCTGACACGGCGAGGCGGCTCCATCTAACATTCACAAGTATAATTATTATAATACGTATAATTGATATAATAAAGTGTAATTATAGTTATTAACGAATGCTAGAGTAAAGCAGCCCTGTTTTTAATTATGAGGGGGTTAAAGAGAAACTTAATGAAGTTCATTTAAAGTCACAAATGAAAATGCACTCAGTAGAGAAAGAAGAAGAGAAAAATAATATATATTTATACCCCCCAAACCTGGAAGGTCAAATTAATTCTGGATTTTTATCTTCCAGCACACAAATGCTTCTCAGTTCTTTCTCATTTGGAGTTGAAATGTTTTAGATAATGCGTTATTAATAATGTTCCCTGCAGAGTGGGGTTTTTTTTTTTTTCTTTTTTTTTGCACCACGCTTGATAAATGAGACGTTTTCCATTTAATAGTTGCATGATGAAGGGCATCTGGGGCAAAAACAGCTGCAGATAAGGTGGTGATGAAGAACCGGTTCAGACCGGCCTGGCTGCTATTAACGGGTTTTTATCTGTGTGTGTGTGTGTGCGGTGGTTTTTAATGTGTTTCCGTCTACATACGTGACGGTTTAATAGACGTGGACGAGCCTCTGAAGTGCTCCCGGCGTCGTGCTCTCCGCAGAAATCATCTTAACAAGTCGTTCAGTCTCATTACGAGGCTGAAAACTTCTCTCCGAAGAGCATCTCGCTTGTTTCCCCGCCGCCGCCGCCGCTCGCCTTTTGTCTCGGCACAAAACCGAATCAGGCGGCGGCGGCGTCGAGGAGAGGGCCCTTTATTCTCAACGACTTCCGAAGTGGGCCGGTTTGTTTTAGAAACAAGCGAAATTACCCGCAGATATCTGGGAAATCAGCTCGACTTGTTTTCGCAAAAACAAGGTTTCAGGAGTCGGCTTAATGAGGTCTCTGTTCACGCGGCAGGATCTTTTCTTGTGTTTTTGACGTAGAAAGCAAACACTCAGACAATGGCGAGAACTTTTAACATTTAATAGCTGATTTGGACAATTAAATGATAACTAATCACGTTTGACCAGTGAAGACAACCGCGAGAAACATCTGCTGCTCCTACGAGGCTTCTCGTTGGTTATCGACCTGACTATGCATTTGTGTTGGTGGAAGTACTGGCAGCTGAAAGAAGCATCAGCAGTTAGATTGGAGAGAATTTTTAGAGACTTGTGATGGAACTGACTCTAGTTTTAGCCTCATGTTGCTGCGACCCAGCAGGAAAAATCCTTGTTTTATGCGATTATGATCCGTAATAAAGCGTCCAACTTGCTGTTGCTTCTAAATATCTGCCACGTCTTTTAGCAGAAATCCAAAAGTCCATCTCCAATGTCTCTCTAAATAAATAAAAACTTAATGTAAGATATATAAGAACGGCTGCATCTTGAACTAGAGTTATGATTACCGTAATGTCTGGACTATAAGCCCCTACTTTTTTCACTAAACAACGATGCGGCTAATTTATGGATTTCAGTGCAGGAGGAAGATGAAGACAGCGATCAGTGACTTTTCCTGGTAGGCTTCTGTCGTTTTTATTTTCCTAACCAGCCGTGTTACAGGCACTGCTCGGATAAAAGCATTTGTGTTTGTTACCGGTACGTATTTAATAAAAAATTTATATGTAAATATCTCGTGTTACAACGTGGACACCTGCAGCTTACAGACAAGTGCAGCCTGTACATGTACAAAACTAGTTTTCTTTTTAAAGTTAGCGGGTGCGGCTTATATTCAGGTGTCGGGAAACTACGGTACTGGGAATGTCACATCAAAACTCGTCATCATTCAGTTGCGAACAGAAAGAGTGACTTCATTTGTCCTGGAACAATGTAACTGAGGGTTTCTGAAATGCTCTCGTTCACTCGGATGAACTGAGTGACTGATTTCTGCATTACTCTGTTAAGCCGGCGCGCTGTACTCGCTGCACAGGCTGACTGGTTTTAATCAAACATCTGGTTCTGTAAGCGTCCGTCTATCCATCACACTCTGCACACAGCTTTTCTGTACACTGAGGGACTAATGGAGCGTCGTGGCGCCTCATGCGGAGCCCCGAAGTCGCGCTAGCATTAGCTGATTGGCGTCAGGTGTTTAATTCAGGGTTTATCTGCAGCTGCTCGGCTGCACTAATAACATGGAATCACATTCAATAACGCTGAAGTGGCTCTGCAGTCTTAAAGCTTGTCGATATTTGACACGAGATTCTTTTGTTTTTACATCAAATATTCAAACGCAGCTTCGTAGTTTGACTTATTACTACATTAATCTTGAATTGCAGGTTGCAGCTTTTTCTATTTTTCTGCGTAAAATGAGGAAAATCTGACATTAAACTGTTGTTTTGTTGCGACATAATAATCTGTTAGGTTAAATACTTCCAGCATCCAAGAGACATCGGGGTAATATCATTAAAATCAGATGATTTAATTTTGCATAACTTCTCAATAACTGCATTATTTTTTTAAGTTGACAAGTAGAATATTTCCTCTTCTTCGCCAGAAGCTGATATCTCATGAAGACTGCATTAAAAATATGTAGGAACTCAAAACACCTGCGACGACTTAAAGTAAATTGAGCGCAGCTGTGGTTTCCAATCAGCCCGACTCCATGAGCGTGATCATAAAATAAGCTGTGAGCATCAGAACCGTATCAGTTCTGTACCTATGGACCGGATCTATATGCATGTCCGCTTCGTGGCTCCATGTGGAAAACAATCGCCGTGATTGTGCAGCTTCACAAAGGGTCCGAAAAGATGGAGCGGCAGCAGTAATCAGGAGGTATTGAACCGACCGTAACATAGGCAGCGTTCTTTCTCTTCAAAGCTGGAAGATCAAACTTTGCTATCGAGTCTGATGGATATTGGGAGAAAAGTTCTTTGGTCGGAAGATAAAGTTGTTGGGCTCAGGTGGAGTCCAGATGTTTGGTGTGAACCTGGTCCTGACAGTGAAGCATGGAGGTGGAAGCATCATGATAAGAGGCTGCATGAGTGCAACAAGGTGATGTGGGTATGAAACTAAAAGATGCACCATGAATGCATGTTGATTAACCCTTCTGCTACTGGAGCCCGCCATACCGGGCTGGCATTAGGACTCCCGTCCAACACTCCAGACCGGTGTAGAGGCTCTGATACATGGCGACTTTCTGTTACGTTCATTTTGATTGGCTATCAGTGGGTGTGTGAACAAGAGATTCGGTCATGAAATAAATGATGCAAACAAAGTAAAATGACGTCGTTTGACCCTAAAAATCACCTCGTTTCCAAAATGTTTCCAAGCAATCAAAGCTAACTAACTAATTACAAGACTTTGGTGGATAACAACTGATAATTAATTGCATGTATCCCTGGTAATTATGAAGTTTACCTTTTCTTTTCTTCCACATATATTTAACCGTCAACTTGTCGACTCTTGATTGATACCAGATGTGTAATGAGGTGAAGTCCACTTAAGAGCTTATTAATCAGAGCCACATCTGATCATTACTTAGTGGTGAAGGGGTTGATCGAAACACCGGCTGACGAGATGATTGATGGTCTGCAGAAGCTTGACAGAAGACGACTATATGATCAAAAGCACACTGGAAGAAAACCAGACCAAGTGTTTCACCTGAATGTTGAATCCAATGTCAGACTTTTTGAGACATTAGGAAGAGAAAAGTAGAGCGACACCACTTCCAGCAAAGAGGAGCTGGCAGCACACGGGTTCCTCCGTGTTTGAGAGGATTAAGTCATCAGAACAAAAAGGTGGGCATGTTAATGAAAGGTGGAGTCACTCATTGTTGCACCGAGTTCCTACTTTGCGGCCTGCATTTTTATTATAGTGCATTGAAACTGTTTGTTTTTCAGTTTTACATGAGCAAATATTCAAGGTGCTCAGTAATCATTGCTGAGGCAGAGCAACTCCCCATTTAAAGCAGGTTTCAATGCCATCATAAGACCATGTTTCAATAAGCCCAAATGTTCCTTTTGGATCGGAGTGGAGGTTGGGTTTAGTTTAGCCTAACCAGCACGGCCTGTGGTTCGTCTGGCCCTATTCTTGGAGCATTGATCTGTTTTTCTGAGAGCAGGTTTTGTAGCATGTGTGTGTGTGTGTTTTGACAAACTCCCAAAGTCTCCCGTGATCGGTCCTTCACCCCGAGGCTGCAGCCATGTGAAATTGCCAAACATTTGCGAGATTCCCCCCGGGCGTTGTTAAAAGCCTTCAGTACAGTCGTCGCCACTTTCCATTCACTTCCCCGTTTTCCTTCTCGGATTTTATGCCGCGCTACTTCGCAAGCGCGCTGTTAAGGACTTAAGTGCAGAGTGTGTGTGTGTGTGTGTGTGTGTGTGTGTGTGTGTGTGTGTGTGTGTGTGTGTGTGGTGGGGGGAAAGAACAGCAGTAATCCATGATTCATGTGACATGCTCAGTGCCCTTGACATGCATCAGGTTTCAGGGCTTGCTCGGAGCATCTTATCGGGATAGGAGGCGAGCGGGGACCAACCCCCAAAGGCTTCCCGGCACTTATCGCGGCGATGCTCCGCGCCCAGAGCAATTCACACGGTGCTGGAGAGGCATCCTTCCAGACAAAAATCTATATTTATTTAAAACAAAATAGGTGGAAGAGGGCTTTTTTTTTTTCTTCTTTTTTTGTGCTTTAAAACTTTAGCAAAGTCACTTTTGCGTTGCCACCTGTGCCAAGGAATCTAGTCGAACTAAGCCGGAGGCCATGCTGTTCCACTACATCAAACCTGTAGGCTGCGGTGTATAAATGATCTTGGCCTATACTGTCAGCGCCAAAGTCATGCATCAGCCCTGTGTTTAAACCCCATGGTCTGGCCTTCATCTCCTCCTCCCTCATGGGTTGACAGCTTCTCCCCTCCTCACATCTTCTTCGCTCACTTATCTAATTTTGTTCTTTGTGTTTACCTCCTCTCGGCCTCCAGTCCAGCCCCACATCACCCAGCTGAAAAACGTGACAGCCGTGGAGGGCAGCGCCGCCATGATCTCCTGCGTGGCCGAGGGCGAGCCTCTGCCTGACATTTCCTGGAGGAGAGCCAGCGACGGCCAGACCTTCGTGGACGGAGACAAGGTAGAAGCTGCCAGAAAGTCCATCTGGCCGGTGTGTGTGTTTGTGTGCTTGTGTGCATCATCATCATCATCATCATCATCATCATCGCAGAGCATGGGCAACACCTACAGTATGAGTGTTGGACAAATAGGGCACAACTTAGGAAGGATGCACCCAAAGTTTGGTTAAATTCTGGATTTTTGTTTGACGGTTTCTTCTGGCAGGAAGTGGCACAAACAAGCGACAAAGGACAAAATGATTCCTCGAAATTGTCTTGAATTTTTCAGCTTCTGTTTCAATCCGAATGTTCCTGGTAATAATGCCCACTGTGTTCCAGAGCGTCGTAACACACTGTGAGCGGAGAACAGCTGATGCAGGAGTTCTCTGGTTAGTTGCAGGTCAATTGCAAGTCATGGCGAAAAAAAACAAAGAACTCCCTGAGCTTGCTGTTCTGGTCCGTCGCTGAGAGACAGCTGCACACTGTGGCTCCTCCACATCACTCCAAAGTCTATAAAGTCATATCCAAGTGTTCTTTTTTAATGTGCCACAGTGCAAAGAGGAGTTCCACACTCTGGAAAAAAAACCTAAAGGGGCTGGAAGGAAGCTGAATATGACCCCTGTGCTTGTAGGAATGGTTACCACCAAGACTATCCTCATGAATCTTCTACCAACATCTTCAAGAAACACTTTGGTTTTCATGGACGCCAAACAAGGAGACACAAAAACTCACCTGGAAAAGGAAGTGTTGGATCATGACTGGAGCTGTTTGGTGGCTTTCTTTTGGAGAACGAACGGAGAAGCATCAACCCAAAGAACACCGTCCTCACTGTCAAGCGTTTTGGTGATGTTGCTCGTGGGGATGTTTTTTAACCAAGTGGATCCGGCAGCCTCGTCCAAAGTTCACAGCGTCATGAGAAAAGAGGATTACGTCAAGATTCAGGAGGAAAACATCAGGCAGTGTTTGGGCGACAAGACAAGGATTTGGGACGTACAACCGAACTGCTCGAGGAATAGTTAAGAGACAATATATATTAACATTTTGGAGTCCAGACTGGAATTTTATCCAGAATCAGAAGGAACTGAAGACCAGAGTGTTGGCAAAGAAGCCTTCGACTAAAGGCTTTGCCGCTGATTGACTGAGAATGACTCAGTGTTTTGGCATGTTTAGCAAAGAGCTAATTCATCATTAGCATCTCCAACACAATGTCTTATTGTCTTGTTTGTGTCATTTCCAGCCAAAATAAACCGACTCATCCAATGAAAATTCACTATAAATCAACATTTTAGACAGAAAACTGCTTCTTGTGTACAGAAGATGCACATGTCATCGAGATGCATCTGGTTTTGGAGTTGATTTGAATTAAACGCCTCTTTAAAGCGGCGACATTCATCGCGAGTCCCGGAGCAACACCGAGCGTCAAAGTGCGAGAGGTCAAAGACGAAGAGGAACAATGGGTGGATTAATTGTGCCGTGCAGAGGTGTGAAGAGCTGCCGGTTCACAAGTATTATATCTGCTTCTTTTTTTCTCCCCCTCTCATTTTTATTGCGTGTCATGAACACCAATTATTCCGGCTTTGTTTCCGAGAAATCGCATTTTGTCTGTCGTTTTGGCACAGCAGATGGCTCGGGCGCCCGGGAGCCTCGGGCACCTCGGTTGCTATGGGAGAAAAAGCCAGTCAGAGGCGTCGAATCAAAAAAAAAAAAATGCCTCGACGAGTTCTCCCACAATTGATCAAGGAAATAAGAAAGAGCTGCCATTTACATACACAAATCTATATTTGCGGCGGGGGTTTTTCTTTCCGCGGAGTTTGAAATATGCCTTTGAATGTGACGCGAGTGCAATTACTCTCCAGCGAAAACCCCCTGCATTCGCCAAATGCCAACCCGGTAATGCGGTTTTCGTGCCGTCGTCGCCGAGTTTCGCTAATGAGTTTTTGAAAGGTTTTTATGAATCAAAGGTGTCCTCAAATTACTTGAACTCACAAGCTGGAATTACGGCTGGAAAAAAAAAGTGGCTTTTTAAGCAGCAACAATATAAGTTCTCACCATTAAAATGCCACTTTTTTTATATTCATATAGAGGTTCTGCTTATTCCGGTCGACTACTAAAAGCAGCATTAGCAGGTAATTACTTGTATACGTCCTGGTAGAAATAAAAGCAGAGGTAATCATTCCCATCTGCCACACATGAAACGCTGCAATTACACTCGGTTAGCGCTAACAGAGCTGTTCATGGGGGGGCCTAATAATATTTACATTCAGGAGTGATTGATTCCAGTCTTTGGCTCTGACAACGCTGTGTTTCTCGGCGCCGATGCGTGAAGCCTCAAAGACGGCTGCCCTCAAACAATATATGCGCGTTCACCTTGCGCTCGCACTTCGCCGAGATTATTATCTCCGGGGAAATCAGCACACGCTTTTAGTTCGATTCGCTCTCGGCACACAGAAAGCGGCAAGAACCTTGAACTTTTCAGGGCTAATACTTTTAGTTTACTCTGTTTTTTTTTTTCTCGCCTGCCTTTGACTAACATTTTTTTACGTAATCCGGCTTAACAGACACAAAGCAGCTATTTTTATATTCTCTCTCCACATCCATTATTCACTTTGTCCAAAATAACAGCCTCTAAAATCAGGAATCGAATGAGGTGCAGGCGTTTTCTTGGAAAAGTAATTATTCTTGAACGACACGCCATCAGTGTCAAAAACATCAGAAGCAGAAAAAGAGGGAGGAAAAAACCCCCCAAAAGATGGCAGCCGTTCTTCTTTTTTTTTTTTGCCGGGGAAAAAAGGTCACCGCAGAGATAAATGAATGTGTGCGTTGGCTCGAATCGCTCGGGTTGATAAATCACAGCCGAAAATGAGAGTAAGTGCTTCTCTTCCCACAGCAAATGCAATTATGGAAATGTGTAGCGCGAACCAACACACCTAAACATACGCAAAGACAAACACGACTTGTGCGGCACGAGGCGTGATGGATGGCGGCAGTCATTTGGGTTTAAGGCAGGATGTTCCTCTCTCAATTTGCTCTCCAATCTGCATATCCAGTCGGCACACACTCATCTCCCGTTGTTAAGCTTCAAAAGGCTGAGTTTCGCTCGCTACATAATGTTGCTTCCGTTCTTCTCGTTCTTTGTCAACTAACACTGTGACCCTCGGTGCGGGAACATAATGGGATGCAGTTCCTGGAATTTAATTTTGAACCGAGCTAGGATTCGAGTCGGGAGGCGGGGGGGGATTGTTTCCGCTCCTCCGGTATTGTTTCGCTTCTGAGCAAGGTTAGCCGCCTGCTCTTGTATTCATGCAAAACACCCTAAAGAGCCGGTGACATTAAAAGTCTGTACTTTTCCTGAGACTGACTCAGTGAGACTTAAACTGTCGCCCAAACCTTCTGCGGAAGTCTTGGGAGTCCATTTCACAAACAAGCCTTGAAAAGAGCACGCCGCCACCCGTTGAGATGATTGTTTCGCTCACCATTTGATACCTGGTTTATGGTGAAACGCCGTCGAAAATAGATAAAAGCATTGTTTAGCCAAGGACTTGCTGCGAAGCCGCTTGTTGGCTTCCATTCCCCTAAAACCTGAAGCCGTTATTAAGTGGAGTTTTGTGCTCGTCGTGAGGTTTAAATTGGCGCAGCGGTCGTTCCAGCGATGCAAGTATGAACACTTCAGAAATTAGCCGAGCTGCTGTTTCCAGGCTCGCTGACATTTACAGCTGACGTGTTTAGACATCAGACAATTCTACATCAGCTGGGCGGAAACAGCGCTGGAACCATTAGCAGGATCCGGTTTGAGATGTCGAGATTTAGCTCGTTCGACGGGGACGCAGACTCTCATAGAGAATCAGACAGGGATGAGATTTTGTATATTTCTTCCCCCATGTTTTTCACCTCGCCTTATTTATTCTCTTTTCATCTCCTTCATGTTGATTGCTGCTCGTACAGTATCTGTAAGTGTCTGAAATGACGCTGGAACCCATCAGCAGGATCTGGTTTGGGATGCTGGAGTCGAACACTCGTTTTGGGGATTTTCTGAACCAGATAGAGATGAGATTTCCTATATTTCTTCCCCCATGTTCTTCACCTCGCCTTATTTATTCTCCTTTCATCTCCGTCATGTTGATTACCGCTGCGTACAGTATCTACAGCAAACCTGCAGCAGCGCTCACGCCTCCTCGTCGTCGTCGGCGGCGGGCTGAGCTGCATATCAAACTACTTTCGGGTTCTGAGTTCGTCTCCAGACGCAGACCCTGGCAGAGGTTGGGGGAGGCGGAGGGGGTTAGCGAGTAATTTCCTGACTCAGAAGCTCTCTCCTGGAAGATTTCCTCTCATTCGCCTCCTCCTCCCTCCCTCCTCCTCCCCCATCCTCAGCATTCCTATTCAACACACACTCTCCCAATCCCATTGACCTCAGCTGGCGAGGCAAACAAGCAAAGTCTGCAGTGGCAGCACAAAGAGAGCAGGACGGAGCCTTTTAAAACGCCGCTCCACCTCATTGGTTGATAGTAGTGCGCCGATAAGAGCAAAGATAAGCCATTCTAAACAGGATAATGCCGGCGCGGTGTACGAGCGACAACATAAAGAGACTGTGATTCAGAAGAGGGGGCTTCACAGCCGAGGCTTATGAGGCTTAGACACATAATGAGCATTAGCAGAGGCGGGGTGGGGGGGGTGACAGGAGGGCATTAGAAGGGGCTGGATGTGCATTGATTTACTGGGGAAATCTATAGAGGAGGTGTGCACGAAAACACAGACGTACAGATGCAAATACACGAGTGGAAAGCCACATGCGGGCAACGTGTAAATATGCAGACGTCTTGCAGGAAATCGGCAGCGTAGACGGAATTCTCCCGAGGTCAAGAAGCAGAAGAAGGGCTCCGGAGAACGAGAATTACCATATAAATAAACATCCGTGTTGTGCAGTTGAAGAGGACCAAAGAGGACTTACCTGGACGGAGACTCCCGGTCGACCTTGTCCAAAGTTAACGGCATCATTAGAGAAGATGACTGTGGAGGAAAACGTCGGGCTGAAAAACTTGGAAAAACCAGATCTTCCTGCAGGATAATTACCCGAAAGAGTCGTCAAGAAACAGAAATCCCATCGAGAATCTGCGCTAAAACCTCAAAACTTCTAGAGGTTGTCATTAAGCAGGAGTGGAGCTTGTTAGCAGTTTTACGAATCGTTTGATTGATGTGGCGGCTCTCTATTAGTCTCTATTTGTAACACACAGTAACTGGTTAGATAAATCAGCGCGCCCATCAGACGGGACGGACAGGAAGGAGTCTTCACCTTAAACGACGGCAAAGTTGTTAAGGAATTCTGTACTTTGGCAGACTTGTTAAAAAGAGGAGAAGCCGCAGACGGGAGGCTGTTAGGGAGGCTTAGCGTAAAGACTGGAAATGAGGGAAACCAACACTTCAGAAGTTAACAAGCTGCAGTTTTACGAGGGCTTATGTGAGGGACCGTTTCTTGGCCAGGAGTCGAGGATTCTTACAGTCGCTGCTGGTTGCCTAGCGACCGTGTGATGACAACAGGAGTCAATAAACAACGTGGTTGAAGGGTGCTGGTTCCAGGCTTTATGCTATGCTAAGCTAACCAACATTAGAGTGGAATCAGTCCTCTCAAATGCCTTCCTTTGCACAACAAGTAAAATTTATAGTGATGCTTGGTTGTTGACTCACACCGCGTCTACGTTAGCATGAGCAGCGATAGCCACCATAGCTATAGAAACTGAAACTAAAACTGGCTTCCTTTCAGCATGAAACACCACCAAAGAATGATTACAGCATAATATTCCCAAAGATTTCTTTCCATTATTTGCATAGATGGTGAAAAATTTCTCCTTCATGCATGACTTAACCCAAACCACCACCTTCTAATGACCTGGTTTATTAACTTCGAGGCGGTTAATGGAGCCCAAATCAGCTATTTTTTTTAACAGTTTGTTAAAAACTGACATCACTGCACTCGAGATGGTCCAACCCTGTAACCTCCAACCAGCTTCTTAGTGTTTGTACTCACTGTGGCCTCGTGGACCTCTATGGAAACAGAACAACCATGATTAGATGTAGCAAGAACTCAGAAATGTTGAACGAAATTTGGAAAAATCTGGACTTAGTGTGTCTAACATATGTCCAGGTGCTCCCCAGTTGTTACCAACATCTTATGTTTTACAGCGTTTGGTGCAAATGGTTTGTTTTTGGAGACATTTTCTAATAAGACGTGTAGAATAAACTGATGAAATCTCACCAATTCTGAGCTCTGATTTCATTAAGTTTTCACCCACGATTCCTTTAAGGGCCACTGGAAAAGTCAAAAATCTGATAATTCCTTTGAACAGTTTCAGTCTCAGTTCACACCAGCTGATAGGTTTTGGAGCTCAGCAGTAATTGTCAAGTAATCTCAGCGCAGAGCCAACACACAAATCTGTGTTTGTTTTCTTTCCAAAAGATTGCAACACAAACCACAAAGAGGAAACCTCCAGCGCTGTTGGATCTCCCTTAAATAAACACGCTTATAGGATTTGACTCTCAGCCTCAGCTTTTTTTTTTTCTTTTACATTCCTTTATTAGGAACACTAATTTAAATGAAGTCCCACATTAACTTTCAGGCCTTGAGCTAAATAACTTCTGTTTTTGCTCTAATAAAGCAGTTTATTTAAGTTGACTTCACTGACTAATTAGAAAGCAGCAATGTGGGGAAAGCCAACGTGTGATTCGGATGTTTCAGCTCCGAGAGTCGAGATCACAGTTGCCTATGTGGCTTCGTAGGGTCTATTTTTTTAACTGTCACCGAGCCTCTTTGCTTGCACGGGGCCTTGCCACTCTAATAACTCCCTGATCATGTCCAAGAAACGCATCTCCTCGTAATGGGACTTCATTTCCTTGATGCACACAAGCATTGTGTAATCCGCTCCATTTCAGCATTACTTACCAGCCAGAGTGCCATCATGATATGCTGCTTCTGCTGCCGCCGCCGCCGCATCTTTGTGTTCGCGAAGGCTTCGAGAGCCCAGGACAGATTGCTGCCATAATGTGCCATGTGCCTTTTGGTGGGTACTTATGTTAATAACAGCCTACAGCACTCTCAGCCTCAATGAATAATAAGAACTCAACTAAAACTGTGTTTCTTATTCATGGCGGCGTTCCGTCTGCGGGTGAAGAACGTCAACCTGTGACATATTCGTATGAGACAATGAAGCAAACACGGGGTTCGTAAATCATCTGAAATAACGCAATTACGTCAACTCCTGGCATGAAAAGGAAACAAATTGCCTTGAAAGTGAAATAATAAGGTGTCACCGGTTGGGGTTGTTTCGCCTTTCGTCTGTGACCTTCACATCTACCGCTGCAGTCACGTTCGTCTCAGTCGCATCATCCTCCCGAAAAGTACTTTCTTGGGGGTCGTGGAGGTTATCTGCTGCTAACAATGTGAAGGCTACAGCCGTATCATGTCGGCAACAAGGATGCTCCTGGGCTGTTTTTTCTCATTACGAGGGAATGTCGATTACTGAAATGATAGCCTCGTCTGCTGTAATTGACCCGTTGCTTCAAATTGATACCATCTGTCTTCATACAGATGTAATGACCTTGTAATAAATCGACAGTTTATTGCATTAACCCTGACTCGGCGTGACAAGTGACGCTTGCCTGCGAGGGGGGTCAGAACGGATCAAGGGGCTGCCACTCAGTCGCCAGAACAAAGTTGGACCAACAACTTTCTGTAAATTACTTGGCGACGGGAGCTGGCCGGAGCCTCTCTGGATACCTCAGTGATTCCGCTCTGTCGTGTCCGCAGCTTCCTGAATGTGACTTTCATTCAACGCCGGCTCGTAAATAAAACTGTCAAGCGCATTATATCCTCACCATAACTCATCTGCAGGTCTCTTCTGTTAGTTTCCAGCTCTGAACTCTCGCCGGTCATTGCGACGCGAAGCCGCTTTGTGCGATAATCGTGTGGAAATTATTGGAATGTAAATAACAATTAAAGTCTGTGTCACAAACGAAACCCAACAGCTAGAAGTTCTGACACCATGACAGAACAACAAACAGCTGGTTTTGTTGCAGGAACGCGGCTGCCAGTGTGTTTGTTCTTGGGGAACCTTTGGATTTACTTGGTTCTCAATGTGGAATTAGTAATTAGGGGTTACATGATTAAAAGCTGTGACGATATAAAGATGCTTCCTGCTGCCATTCCACTCCCCCGTCAGCCATGTGGCTGCTCAGCTTTACGAGACAGTCAGGATTTTATTCATTTTCTAAGTAGAAACTGAGGAACCGATGGTCGTTGAGTCGTTGCTTCCAGAATGAGCAGTTGCCTCACATTCATACAGTTTTTTTTATTTTCTATGGCTTTCTACAGCTCAACAAATGTTGGCTGCAAGAGTGAACGCAACAGTCTTCATGCACTCCCAGCATCTGAGAAACTGAAGATCCAATGGAACACTTTTATTATTTTTTGATTGCAATATCAACGCAGCAGTTGGAAAATTCTAAGTGTTGGTACACTGCGTGGCTAATGTGACCATTATGGTGTGTCTAAATAACTGTGACTTGTCTCGAGGTGATTGTTTCGTCTAACCATCGGTGGTGTTTGTGCCTGCAGGGCCAATATGGGAGGTTCGAAGTTCGCGGTCGTCACGGCAAGTCCGTGTTGACCATCAGCGGCGTGAGACTCACCGACTTGGGCCGATTCGACTGCGAGGCGCTCAGCAGGATCGGAGGTCACCAGAAGAGCATGTTTCTGGATATCGAGTGTAAGTATGTACACCGTCAGACGAGCGGTTTGGTGTGACCGCTAACCAGGAACAACAAGGGGTCGAACCAGGCGACTTGAGGATAATTGGAGCTCCTCAAGCAACAAGTTGTGCAACGGCGTCAACACGCAGAGGAGTGTTGCTCGTGTTGTCACCTGCCGCAACCCCTCGAACAGAACAAACGTTTCCACAGCCAGAGGAATTTCTTCGCAGTCTTGTAGAGGGTTCACAAGTTCACTCGCGCTTAGTTCTAATAACTGCTTTCATACTCGGGTTGTTTTTCTTTCCGAAGAACATTATTTTATTACAAACAACTCGCCCACCCCTCGGAAGCACCCACTCCGCCGCACACGCTGCCGCCAGAAGGGTTAATTAGCCAGAGGATATCATGCATTGCCTTCCCCCGCTGACAGCTCCCCTTGCTTCCCCCCCGACGAGCGCCGACATTCCTCAGCGCTGGTTGTTGTTTGGGGTTATTTGGGGCGGGCTCCACCCTGCCTAATGAGCTCTGAAGCAAAGATCTCCATTTTGGCCTCAGAATGATTAGGTTCATTATGTGAGCGGCTCTGTTGGCTAAGCTAGACCAGTGGAAAGTGTTTTTTTTTTTTCTTTTTTAAATTTTAGTAGCAGCAATTCCACCTTGAAGCCCAGAGGAACAACAAAGCTCAGACAAACAAATATATTCAGAGAGACAGGCGAGGGAGAAATGAATACTGTATCTCTGTTGTCATGTGGAAACCCAATTTCCTCCTCTTCCGGCTGAGGTGACTTTCGGGTTCATGGATTCCCTTCAAAACTTGTTTTTGCATACTTCTGGAGAAGTTGACATGAAGAAAAAAAAAAGTTTGATGGCACCCTCATGTAGGGGGAAAATAAAGCAACAAATCTCACATGCATGCAGCCGCTCTCGAGCCATGAAGCAAAGATTTCATTTTACTGTAAACTTTTTATTTTTTTGCCGGCGCCTCAGCTGACAACTTGCTCTCCGACTAGACTCCCACTCTGCAGAACAGACACAGGCATGAGAGTGTGGCGGGGCCGAGGCTGCTGCTGCTGCCACCGAACTAATGAACTCATTTACTAAGTCACTTCAGGCTGCAGGGGGATAACACGTCCTCGGCTGTGACAGAGAGCCAGGCATCAATCTCTTTAATGGAATCCTGCAAGCGAGCATAAAACAACCATAATGCCCCTCCGACTGAGCTGGGCCGACTGGGCCAGGAGAAATCCGCACAACAGCTCGCCGCTGTGATCGTCCATTACTGCCCTTTCTATTTGCTGGGGCAAAATGAGCTTCTGTTTGCATCCTTTATTCTCGTTCTTGGGGGAGATGATTGTAACGGAGGCCCGCAGATCAACCCTCCTAACCAGCGTGAAGTGGCTTCAATTAAATGTGAGTTTTTCTTTTTAACGTTGCACAGGGAGCAGGAGAAGGCAGCGCAATGCTTTTTCTTCTCCCCTTTAAGGAATCTGTGGGTTAAGCAAGTCACTTTTATGTCTTTGATCATCGGGCGCGGCTCCACCTCTGATTTTTTTTTTTGCGCTTAATTGGCCGCCACAGATTTCCTCGCACTCGTTTTCTGGTCTCGTTACAAACGAGGCCGGTGTGACGGAAGGTGTTGCTGTGTTTTTCTGGACAGATATACCAAAGTTCCTGACCAACCACACCATTTATTACTCGTGGGAGGGCAATCCGGTGAACATCAGCTGCGACGTGATGTCCAACCCGCCCGCCACCATGCTGTGGAGGAGAGAGCGCTTCACCATCTCGGCGGAGGGAACCGCCAACACTCGGGTTCACAGCCTGGAGGGCAAGTCTGTGCTGGAGGTGAGTTCAAGAAAATGCAAGAAATTTATCATTATCGTGTAACAAAAACAGGGCTGCAAGGTGGCTCGGTGGTTAGCATCGTTGCCTCACAGCTAGAAGGTCGCTGGTTCACGTCCCAGTGAGGACACCCGGGATCTTTCTGCGTGCAGCGTGGGTTCTCTCCGGGTTCTCCGGCTTCCTCCCACAGTCCAGAAACATGTTGAGGTTAATTGGTGATTCTAAATTGTCCGTAGGTGTGAATGTGAGTGTGCTTGGTTGTCTGTCTCTAAGTGTAGCCCTGTGATAGACTGGTGACCTGTCCAGATGAATCTGCCTTGACCCTGAGTCAGCTGGGATAGACTCCAGCCCCCCATGACCCTGGTGAGGATTAAGTGGTGTGTAGATAATGGATGGATGTAACAAAAACAACCAAAAAAGTCACTGGTTCCTATGTTTCAAGGGTGAGAATTGGTTGAATATTATTTTTGGTTCCAAACAGACTTTCCAGAAACATTGGTGAACGTTACCTACAAGTTCTAATGATATTCAGTCCAATCCAACTTTATTTATATCGGATGATTCACAGCATATCTCATCTCATAGCGCTTAACATGGTACGAACAGAGAACCCAACAATCCAAAGTTGCCTTTGGACTCCATCTGAGCAAACGTTTAGCAAAGGTAGGACGGAACCAAAAGCCTCAGACAGAACCAGGACCAGGGAAGACGGCCATCTGCCTCAACCGGTTGGGGTGAGAGTGGGGATGAGGGGTTATACATGTAAAGTTTTATTCTCATGTTCAAAGACTATTTTAGGGATATTTATCATTTCCAACAATGTTCCTATGAGGTTAAAGTGAACCAACGTTCAGAGGATGTTGTCTGAAAAACAGATGATGTTCCACGATAACAAAAGAGGTTCTCAATGCAACCTCCGAGAAATGTTTTCCAGATGTTATCGAGACCTCACAGTGTTTTAATAATATGTTCTTGTGCTGTGACATGTTACCAAAGGTGGAACATTCTGCCTGCAGTGTTCTGTGGGTGTTTTTTTTAGATAATGTTGAGGGAACATGTTGCACAACGTTCAGCCATTAATCATTCTCACAGCGTTCCATGATAGCAAAGGAAAAACGTTCTCAAACAATAATAAAAAACATGTTTTCCAGATGTTATCGAGGCCTCAGATGATGTGTTTTATATCGTTCCTGTGATAAATAGGTTTTGCCTTTTTGTTGAGAGAACACATTATAGAACGTTCTTCTCAGGAAGGATGTTCTCAGTGCAACATTTGGAGAACGTTTCAAGGTGCGATCGAGGCCTCGGACACCACACGTTTTTTTAATTACATCTATGACGTGATGTTTAGGGGATGCTGTTGAATTTGTAAAACATTCCCCCAACGTTCCGCGGTGTTAGAACCCAGCTGTCTAGGGCGACAACAACCAGGTGTTCTTGGTTTACTCAAGAGATTTATCGCTTAGTGACATAATTAACAAAAGAAGAGGTGATTATATGACAAAGACAACAAGTCGGTGGGTGTTGCTAAATAAATAAAAGAACCAATTAGAACCAAACGAAGGCAGACAGAGTTGCAAAACTTGCGAGAAGAAGAAGAAGCTCCTTAGTCAGCTCATCATCAAGCTCTACAGAAGCCTGATAACGATCCTGATCATGTGACTCAGATGTGTTGGAAGAGGGAAACATCTACAACATGCTGGATAGGGGCTCTCGAGGACCAGGATTGGACACCCCTGGGCTACATGGTCACTGATCATAAAACAACACAAACTCAAAGCAGTTCAGCACCACGGACAGCGACCGCGTCATTCTGACACCCACTTTAACTGTTCCAGCTCAGAGCCGGTATCAGGAGCTATAAGGTTCAGTAAAACTGGCACAGCGGCCCACATGTTCACAAATACAGTTTCAATATGAAGAACTATTGGCCTGCTCACCACTATTTGAAGGGCAGACGACTCGCCCCTGATTCTAATATTCAAACTACAGAATCAGTGTTTCTAGTTTATTATGAACCTTCTGTATCTTGCAGCAGTTTGTCCGACTGTATCTGAAGCTGTTACCGTCTTCAGTGTACACTAGATATACACGTGAATAAACAGAACCATATTTGGGTCGGATCATCTTCATATTTATAAGAATACGTGGTAAAAAATATGAAAATGATGATGAACTGCCCACATGAGGGGCACGAAGTGGGCAAAGTTTATGAAATTTGAAAATCGAGCACATTTCAAAAAGGTGTTCTTAAACTGCCGTCGTGCTGATGTTCACGTTATCCAGCACCTCATAAATGATCAGAAAACACTTCTGAGTGCTTCATCTGTCAGACTTTTCAAATGAGGGACTGTAACAGAGGATGTCTTTGTATAAAACTGAATTTTTTCGGCCATTTTTAGAGTCTTGTAGGAAGACAAATTAAGACAAAACACCAGATCTGATGACATTTCTGGGTTCTACAGGCAGGAAAAGTTAGCCCAGGATGAACACTTTCAAAGCTCCATATGCTGTACTGTATGAGTATTAATGTGTGAAGGTGGTCTGAGAGGCTCGTTTGCCAAAAGTCTTTCTCCATAGTTGTGGCCTAGCAGCAACTGTGATTGTTTTTCAGCGACCTCGGAAGATTCTCAGAAATGTGTTGACTTCATGTGGAATGAGCCGACAGTAAAGCAGCAGCTTACTGCTGTGGAGATACTTAAACTTTTTTTATGTTCAGCTTTAAATAACAGACAAACCTGAGGGTTATGCCTCCACTGGCAGCAGGCCGATGCGTTTAGCCGTCAGTCAGTAGCTGTGATCCGGTAGCAGAGGAGGGGAAAGGCCGCGTGACGGGTCACGTAAGAACATCCAAGGACAGTCCTGATATCCAACCACAGAAGACAAAAGCAAGTAAAGACTAAGTTAATTGGCTTACAGCAAAAGTGGGCGGGTCCGGGTGAGAAAGTCTGCCAATCAGAGCCCGGGCCGAGGTCACATGATCAAAGAAGTGTAGCGTTCTTTATTGAGAACATGTTTTTAGTTTTTCTCCCTTGAAGAAGAACATTATTCTGGGAACCGACAACATTTCCAGAACTTTGTCGAACTCTCTCAGAACGTTTTTTTGAACAAAACAAATCCAGCTGGGTTACTGATATAAATGAGCTGCAGACTTTTCAAAATAAGACGTCACTTCGGTCAAACTGCGAAGGCGATTTTGCACAAACTTCATAATTTGCTTCAGTTGCCGACGCCTGATTGAATTCAGTTTGTCCAATTAGCGAGTCGTATTAACGGCGCTGGTGCTTAAATCATTTGATTTCCTTGAATTAAGCATTGCAGCAATTTAATTTAATTTAAAGAAAAGCCAATTTGAAGTTTCTAATTTTCAAACTTAAATATTTGTTTTACCTGGATGTGAAATGTAAAGCATGATTTTGTCTTTAGAATTACCGTGCTTTCCTTTTCTTTCTTCTGTAATCCTACTTGAAGTAAATGGTGTGGATCCAGAATGCTGAAGGAAACGTAAATGACCTTCATGAAAGCAGGAAGATAAAGAATAATTTGAAACAGCACTTCAGCTCAAATATGCTTTTCACGGCTGTACGTTGATGTGTTAATGCCATCAGCTTATTCAGGGACTGACTTTTTTTCTTTTTGACATATCTGCTGGAGGAAACAGTGTCATTCTCCTGACCTGATATCCTCGATATCATCTACAGTGAAGTCAGTGTGAATCAGTGCAGCTTTTAAATCAAAAACTCTATGTAAAAATAAGTAGTGCAAATACTCTTCTTGACAGTAATGTTGCTTTTTAAGTGTTTAAAGCTGCATTTGGTCAGTTTGTTGTTGTGGCAAAACGTGCTTATTTCCCCATAGAGCATCCACAGATCAACATTACTCCTCATTTTTTTCAACCAAATTTATGAATAAAAGTAAAATATTTCACTTCTTATTTCTCTTTTAGCTCCATGTTTGGTCTCCACCAACTCCGCATTAACATATCTGCGTTTAAAGCCGCTAAATGCTCCATTATGTTCCACATCTGGTCAGTTTTTGTGCCGTTTGATGCTCTGCAGGGATTCCTTATAGCTTCTTTTGCTAAAATCATCCACCTATGGTTGAAAACAAAGCAGTAAGAGTGAGTCGTGGGTATTTAAAACCTGATGATTCTCTGTAAGCAACCACTAGATGCTCGCGTTACACACGGTTATTTGATCCATTGTTAATGCTCATTGATTGGTGAAGCTTTAAATGTATTTTTAATGAGTTGAGTTCCATCAATCACCTCTGCATTGGAGCAGAAATAGAAAACCGACACTTACTGCAAAAGTCTAAATGTACGTCTGTAACTAAAAGAAACCCTTCATTGTTTTCGTCTCCAGGTCACTCCGATGTCCGACAGAGACTTCGGCCGCTACAACTGCACGGCGAGGAACAACATCGGCGTTCGATACCAGGAGTTCATTCTGGCCCAGGCAGGTGAGTGTGCAGAGCTGCCACCACCTCCTACCTGAGCTAATGAGACCGGCGACTTAATTTCAGCTCCAATATCCGCGGAGTCGGGGACCTCACACCTTTTGAATCGCTGCCCTCGCAGTAACTCCAAACCGCTCGACTACTCTCTACCTCTCGACTAATGGTAATGGCCTTATTTGCAATTCTCAGGAAGATAAATTCCACTACAACTCCCGGCCCCTATTCAGCCTAGCCTAATCTCAAATAGTGCTGGCTGATTTACCATAGCCCTCGCTATTTACTGAAGTACCCCCTAATTTACGGTAGCGCGGGCTAATACACAATAGTGCAGTCCAATTATCTTTAGTGCAGATTGAATTGCTCTGGCTAAGGAGAAAAGTAGTGAGCAAAAAGCTGACCCAATATGTAATCTTGCAGAAAACAATGTGTTTTTGGGAAGTTGCTCTGACACTTTGAATTCTGCGCACAGAGACACAAAAGTTTAGTTTCACCATCGGAGGCTTCAGAAGGGGGAGGCGATGTCGTCTTCAAAGCTCAACCTTGACCGAAAACAAGCGGAAACACGCGAGTTTGCAGCGAAATCAAAGTGTTTTGATTTGGCAGCGAGTATGTAAATGTTGCACCAGAGTGAGATGTACTAAAAGAGCAAATACTTTGATCTGCACAACTTCAACAAGGCCAAGGGCGAGTGAAAGATGCGCCGCCTTCCCTCAAAATGAAGCGAATTACTGTACGGGGAAGTGTTTTCACGGCCTGGAGTTGTTACAGGAATAATGTCTGTCTTTAGTTTGATTATGGAGGTGATGTAACGGGTGGAAGGCTCAGGGGTTCTGTCTGCAGCATTAAAGCGCGTTCAGCTTCGGTTAGCTTGCATTCAGTGGGATTATGGTTATTATTGTGCATATGTCTGCTTTTGGAACAAGAGAGGAGTCGCTTTCTTGTCACTTAAGTTCGGTCCAGACTGAAATATCCCAACAAATGTGGGATACATTACCAGGAAGTGTTACTGTTAAATGAACTTGTCAACCCGTTCATTTATTTCTTGGACTCTGTTTTGAGTTTATTTCAGCTGCTGAGAACGAGACAAAACATACAATAAATATTGATGTGAGTGAAATGATTTGAGATGTTGTGAGAATTCTATCGAAAATGACATCGTCCAAGGATAATTGTGTTATAAAAATTAGGTTTATGACCCACTTTAGAGCTACTCCAGCCAGATTTAGTCGGACTCTCACGACAAACCCGGTCGCAGTAGTTCTGTTAGATGCCATAAAGCAGTTTCTGGACATTTCTTTAGTCCCAGCGCATTATAAAGTCCAGCAGCTCTTTGGAAGCAGAGCAACCACGACCAGAAGGAGAGAGAACTCAGACATGTCTTATACACAGGATAACAAATCATAATTATGGAGTAGTGAGAGGCCAAAATACAAAAATAAATCAATAAAAGAATTTTTAAAAAATAAAATAAAAGTGGAAATAAAAAGAATGAATATAATAATAATTAATTTAATAATTTTAAAAAATATGTATTTATTATTTCATTAATTTTTAAAATTTATTTACTTTTTAAATTATTTTTTACGTTTTTTTTTTTTTTTTTGCCTTTAAAGCAACATTTAAAAGCAAAGGAAAGCTGTGCAGAAAAAAGTGGAAGTTTTTGAAGTTTTTTTTTATTCTTCTATTTTAATTTTGTAATTTGCACTCTCACTACTCCATAATGTTATAAATCATATTAAAAAAATAAAATATAAAACCTGGAATTGACAACATTTCTCCACAGGTGCTTTCACCAAAGGAAAACCAGTGTTGACTCTACATACAATGAATGTCGTACTGCTTACGTTTTTATTTTATTTGCATAAACACAACCTGCAGTTCAGCTAAAGGTCCCTGATGTTTTTTTTGGCAGATAAAATTGATTTAAATGGTGTAATTTAGGGAATTATTCTGAAAGAAAACAACCCGCCAACAGGTCAACAGGTTGTTATAATTGTTTAGGTTTAATTGGTTGTTGAATATAAAGTAAGAGGTGCATGAAGCATAAAAACACTGAACTACAAGATAAATGAAGTCGACTGTTTGATTTTAGTAACTGCAGTAATGAGGACTTTTTCCTGTGGGGTGGTTTCTCTGTCCATCAATCCCTCCATCCACGGATGAACTCAAAGCCAGAACAAAGATCAGAACCCAGAACGTCACAGTTCCAGGAGCTACGATAAACCTGATGTGATGGTTCCCAGCTGCAAAATACAAAGAAGGAAATTATGAAGTAAACATTTGAGAAATACATGTGAAATTCCAACAATTCTTGGTGTTTTTCCTGCAACTTCCTCCGACAAATGGTGCAATTTTCTGAAAATAGCCTTTCAAAGCTGCACGGCGGCTAACGATGTGTTTAAAGGTCATGCGTTCTGTGCAATCAGTGATTCATGCAGGACTTAAACCACCACACGTATGTTTAACTTGTGTTTCCAGACGTACCATCGAATCCCTACTCGGTCCGCCTCTCGGCCGTCTCCCAGCGCCTGGCGACCGTCACGTTCATGAAGCCGGACTCTCACGGCGGCGTCCCCATCAGCTACTACCTGGTCCAGTACAAGGAGGTGGGCTCGCAGGACTGGAGGGACGTCAAGTCGCACAGCGTCCAGAGTGAGTGTCCAGCGTGTTCCTGCATTTGTCACTCCATTTACCTCCATTAAAAGCCACTATGGCGCGATCCCATTGTGCTGAATGTGAGGAACATTAGCTCGCCGCTGAAATGGATCCTCGTGCTTTTATTGTGAAGTCCTGATAAAAGCCCACTTGAACGCTTTTCTATCTCGAATCGATAGAAAAGCTTTCACCTGTTCACGTGGACAGGGTTTGTTAGCATATGTGGGCGATCATTACCACCGATCCAAAGACAGATTGCACACTTTATGACCCGTGGAACAAAATGTCGCTCGCTATCGTTGCAAAGACACGGGGAGGGAGCTGCTGAGTTTTCTGCTGCTTTTGTGTGGGGCAAAAAAAAAAACAACAACATCCCGACCCTTGCTCGAACCGGTCTCTGCTGTCATTTAGCATTAATGGGACCTGAAACGTACTCGGAACGATCCTTCGCCGTCGATAGATTTCCTCGGAAGCTGCTCGCTTGTGCGGAAACGGCCCCCGTGAAATTATTTTAGCGCTTTTCCGTAATGGGTTCTGCTAATTGATTTGGAGACTGTTGTGTGGGGTGGAGTGGAAACCGAGTCGTGTGCCAGAGCTTTGGAAATGGTCACAATCGTCGGTAGTTTGGGCGCTTAAATGTTTTTCCTCATTGAATGTCCTTAAATTAACTCCGTCTGCATGAAATGTCATCCTACTTTCTTCCTTCCGTGATAAGTTCCACACCTCACGGCCCTCCAGTGGTCAGAACCAGCGCATCGGCGTGTGCACGTGGTTATCAGTGCAAGATACGACCACTTCACTTTTAAGAAATAGGAATATTTACGCTCCTGCCGCCCGGTTTCATGCTTCTATCCTCTGGTTATTAGAGCAGGGAGATTGTGCCTGAACACGGCGGATTAACATCCTATCTGACTTCCACCAACATTTCCGTCCACCGATCGGGCCTCGCCGCATGATCTGCCATGCGATCCTTCAAAGCCTTGGCCCTGAGATGTTGTTGGGTCATGACGGGACTCAAACACCTCGTAGGGGTGGTGGTGGGGGGGTAGAGTGCCAGGAACCTGTCTGAGCTGAAAGAAGCCGGCCCTCCTCTTCTTATGCTTTACGACTCCAAATTGATTCCTGAGCCTGTTGGTGGAAAGCACGCCGCGGAGGTGAAGGATGGATGGCTGGAAAATGGAAGCCAGAGGACGAATGGTCGAGCGATAAGCAGGTTCCGACGAAACCTGAAGGGCTTATCGCTAATATCCCCTCATTTCAGAGTCAATTACAGTATGGAGATGCCGCTGAGGTGAATGCTAAACAGGAGGGAAATATACAGCAACACGCAGAGGGGGGAAGAACAAAGGAGCTCGGGAGCTGAGTAAATAGGTTAATTTAATCCAGATAAATGCGCCTCTTTATGGAAAATTAGGGCTAAAATATTATAAATGTGAGCCGGACTAATTACAGGCCACCGTAATCATAGGAGCCGCTCAGACATCCTCAGCACAAGATCCCTCCACAATAAACTCTTCAATATAATGAGACGCCTGGACCGGTTTCATTCGAATGCTTCTGCCCAAATTGAAATGTCTGCTTATAGCTTGGAATGAACCTAGCACGGCTGCAAATTGCAGAATTTGTTTTCAGTTCCAGGACTAAAGAACTGCAAAAGCACCTATTACCATTCAAGTATTTAATTTGTGCAGACTGACAAAAACAACAACTCTCACTCAAGCTCATTACACCAGCGACTCTCTGCTGGCTTCCCTGAATGCTGAAGGTTATGCAAATGGGCTCGAGTGACTGTGGAATTTAAATAGGGATCCGAAATGTGTTCTGATAATGAGCTTTCCTTGTTTTCCCCAATAATCGATGTAATTTTGCAATATGAGCGCAGCGCACGCACAGGTTCCACCGTCCCGATGGTATTAATAACCTTCATAATAAGTGTGTCTTTGGGTGTTTGCTCTGGGTTTGTTGTAGATAAATTTGGAAATCTTCTTATACTGTTTATTATTAGTGAGTTGTTGTTGTTTGTTTTTTTTACAGCGCTGTTGCAGCTGCTCTGTTTGAGTTATATTTCAGGAGCACAGCTCAAGCTTTTACTCTGTCAAACTGCCTTCATTACAGACATGTATCCTCATTTGTTTTCACCTCATGAGTATGTGCTCCAGAAATGGTCACAAGTATGTGGACACCCATTAGAAATGACTCAAGTGTGATTGTTGTTTTTACTCCAACCCAAAGAAATTCACTTTACTGTCATAGAGGAGTCAATAAACAAACAAATAATTGTATTTATGAAGCTAGAATCAGATCATTTGGACTTCATCCTTCTTAAAAAATACTCAAACTGTGTCTTTCAGTTTTTCCAGCTCAAAATTCTGTAAAGATTCATTTCCACCATGACGGTGTAACTCCTGGTAATAGGGCTGCTTCTAATTGGTTGTTTTACTTTGAAAACCAGCTGCTGGCCCCGCCTCCTTCAGGAAGAAAACTCCCCACGTCTGTGTTTCACTGTGGATTTTTCTCTTCTACACAACTTATTTCATATCTATGGAAACTTCTTTGATGTCCAAATTGATAAAATCACTTCTTACAACGTTTTCAACTTTTCTGGTGTTATTAAATGAGATACTTGAACCAGTTCACTGTATTTTTTTTTTTTTTTTAGCTCCGAACGAGAATCGAGTGATTTGATTCTGACTGTATTGTGTTTTTTGGATGGAATTCACCTCATTGTAATCAAAATTCTGACTTATAATTTAACCCTAATGCTCCTTTACACTTTGCTATGTCGTATCACAAGTATGTTTCCTTAAACTCATGACTAAAGGTAAACCTGATCATGATACCCTGCTGATTTATTGAACTGTTACTGAGCTTCTGTTCCAGTTTGTAGATTTTAGTTTTCCTCTGATTGCAAAATGATCTCACAGAAATGGATCAGGTAGCATCTGGGTCGAATTCTTACGCATTAATAAAGCTGGAAGGCTAACTAGATGTGGGGGAAGACACATCTTAACAGGTTGTATTTGATACCTACAAGACGCAATTAAACTGGGTTTTCACCTTATTGGACCTTCAAGGGTGCAAGGGTATTTTATTTTGAAAGGTCAGTCCCATTTTTAGTTTCCCGCCTTCAGGCTGGTTGGGTCGCTGTAGTGCTGGTCTAGAACTGCCTCTCCAGGGAGTTGGACTCCTGCGCCACCATCTTGGATTGCAGCTGCTGGTTCTTGTTCTACTTTCCGAACCCACAGCAGGTGGAGAACCGGTTCTTATGGCGGCAGAACAAGTCCTCCTGGGACAAGATAAGGACGATTCCACAGGTCCACAAGGATCCATAAGGGAACACGTGATGTAAATCTCGTCATCCACCCGAGTCTGTGAGGGTGGCTGTCCAAACTAACTGCAAATGGTGCTCAGAACAAGTACTTCCAGACCTTTATGATTCATGGAGGACCTTTAGTCTCTACATGTATTCCATCAACAGCATTGAAGTTCTCCACTGCCATGTCCGTCCCACTGCTCGGCACTCCGTAGGAGTTGCAATTACAATAATCGCACTGACACAGTGCCGCAGCCCAACCGGAAACCACCTGCTATGTCCTGCAAGAAGTGCAAAGCGGCAGCCTTTCAGAAACGCCCACAGGAGGCCTCCATTTATTGCCGTATTCGATCCGCGAGCCAATGCAACCGTCTGCACACCGGCGCATTCTTACTTCAGTATGAATAGAACTGCATGTGTCTGCAGCAGTCAAGCGGACCCATGAATTGGTCTTTAGCTGATAAGCAACGTGAGCTGTGATCCAAGACGGTGGGACGGGAGTCGGGCAAAGGGACTAACTGGGGAAGCAACATGGAGGAGAGAATAGCGGGTAGTATCCTGGAGGAAATGTTGGAGAAGTTTGAGTGGAAAAAGTTTCCTTCAGCCTTGAGTTGTGGTTTGAAGACTTGACGGATTCTTCTTCCAAACATCTTCGAGAAAACACGCCCCCATCTAACCAGCTTCTACCTCCACGGTGGGAGTCTCTTCACCCAACCGACAAGTCGGCGTCAACGACTACCATGCTCCGCCGCTGTTTTGCATCCTCATGAATTTGGATCCCGTCTGCGGGGATTTGTTCCCGTTTCACGCCGCTAAAGACTTCCTAATGAAAAATTCAGCGTCTCGGGCAACAAGGCAATAACAGCAGAGCCGCACCACAAGCGACTGCAACCCGGATTTATGAGTAGAAAATGCGTTGTTTAGCTTAATAACTCTGTCAGACTGATCCATTGAGATGCAAAAAGTGCAGATTATGTCGCCTTTAAACTCCTTTTTAAATGATTTTCTGTGTCTCTCTGCAGCCACGGTGGTGCTGACGGGACTGGAGCCCAACACGACGTACGAAGTCCGAGTGGCAGCTGTCAACGGAAAGGGTCAGGGCGAGTTCAGCCACACGGAGACCTTCCAGACTTTACCCATCCGTAAGTCGGCCTCGCCGATTCCTGCACCGAGGATCTAAACTTCCATTTACATACGATGGGAAACCCAATCAAATCCATCAATTACTGCAGCGACTGATGATGTTGAAACCCTAAAGTGCAAATATGATAGGATGGCATAGAGATTAAACAGCCTCGGAAATGTATTCGGATTGATGTAAAGATGTTTTCCTTTCCCTTAAATTTCCTAAAGATGTGTGATAGAAATGCAAACGTGCCTCCAGCTTCAGCATCTTTTAGTAAATTGAGGCCCATTTGCCGTCTTACGCAACCCCGGCGTGTTTACATCGGCCTCCTCCCATTCCAGTAATTCAAACGATGGGAGCTCGGAGTAGATGCTGTCAAATTTGCGGCTTGACGTAAAAACTGCCGCATTAAAAATTATGTACTGCAGGATTTTATGATAAGCATGTTATTTATTCGAGCACTCTGGCACAGCAGGATTGCAGTAAATCCGGGCAAGGCCACAGAGAAAAAAAAAAAAAAGTGTTTCTGTCTTTAATATTATACGCAGCTACTGAGGATGAATGTTAGAAAGAAGAGCCAATTAGCAAAATACAGCGAATAATAAAAACCTCCAGTCAACATTAATTATAGCCAGGCGGTGGGAGTTACCTTGTAATATGAATTTAATTCAGCTTAAAACCGTCTCTCTCTCCTTGTACCGCATCCTTATCTCATATCTCACGTTGCCACCTGCTCCCCTCCCCGGCAATGCAGAAAAACACACAGCAGCGCATATTGTTTTGCATCTGTGCTGAAGCCTCCCTCCTCCTCCTCCTCCTCCCCTCAGGAGAGCCGAGTCCGCCGGCGGTCCACGGGCAGAGAGGGATGGGCAAGGCCTACCGGCTGGGGCTGGTGAAGCAGGACGACGGCGGGATGCCCATCGTGGAGTACATCGTCAAGTACAAGACTGTGAGTATAACGCAGGGCTCTGTAACCTGGCCGTGTGTTTGAAAGGTGTGCATTCATCAAAGCCTGATGTGGATTTTCAGCTTTCCTACGGTCCCTGAACTGCTCACCTGTGACGCATCAGAAAACCAAATCAAAGCTTAAAATCGTGACTTTCTACAGATTTTATGCAGGATTTTTTGTTGTTATTGTTTTTTAAACTGCTCAAATTGCACCATTTATCAGAAACAAGCAAGCAGGAAGGATTATCAGATTTTCTACGTCCCGTTGGTCCCTGAACTGCTCACCTGTGACGCATCGTTCCATCAGAAAAACAAATCAAAGCTTAAAATCGTGACTTTTTAAAGATTAAATGCTGTTTTTTTTCTTTTTTTAAACTTCTAAAATTGCACCATTTATCAGAAACAAGCAAGCAGGAAGGATTATCAGATTTTCTACTTCATGTTGGTCCTTGAACTGCTCGTGTGTGACGTTCGATTTGGTTCAAAATTAATCAAATCTAAGCTTGAAATTGTGACATTTCATCAGAATAAACCGTGTGCATGAAAAACATTATGTAAAAAAATAAATAAATAAATTAAAAATAATTTTTAAAAAAAGATTCTGCTCTAATTGGGCAACCAACAGTCACATGACAAAACTCAGAAGATAAGAGACGAGTATAGAAACGTATTAAAATTTAAATAGTAAAATATCTGCAGCATGTTAAGTTAATGTTTTTTTTGTTGTTGTTTGTGTTTTTCTGGTGTTTGTCACGAACGTCTGTGCTTGAAGAAATGTGAAAGTGTCAATTCCTTCTGATTCTTTTTCTTTTTTGTGAAATGCAGAATCAAAGGAATTCCACTTTTTCTTTTTTAATGATTTGTGCCGTTCTAACTTTGTCACACAGCACAGAAGACAATCCTGAGTTCTGTCTACTTCTGGTCCTGATTGTTCTGTTTCTAGTGCACGACTTTATGTTGGAGTGAAAAACGAACAGCGAGTGAAAACGTGAATAAACATAAATCGAGTCTAATCTGAAGCATGAATTTGTTTCAGTTCAGACGAAAAGTCTCTGAATTTTAGCTTCGTCACTGTTGGTCCCAGCCGGGTCGCTCATGGCTTCATGGCTGAGCAGAGGAGCGCAGAATTTTTTTATTTTTAACAGAACCTAGTTAAAGTTTGTTTTTGGCAAGTTTTTAAATGAAAATAAAGTGATTTCTTTAAAAATATGAGCTTAAGCTTAGATTTGGTTCATTTTCCAGATGAAACCGAAAGTCGAACACGAGGAGTTTTTTCTGTTTTTACAGGTTCTGGCTCTGATGAATGGTGTCGTGACGGTTTTAGAAAAGAAAAAAAAAAAAAACAAAGAGCACTGAGCCTGTTAAATCTGACAGTTTAAAGCTTTGATTCGGTTGTTTTCAGATGGAGCAGATGAGCAGTTCAAGGACTGCCGGAGCGTTGGAAATCCGACGATTCATTCCGTTTTTACAGTTCGTGACTTTTGTAATTGTGTAGTTTCGGCAATTTTTCAAAAGATTTTTTTTAAACTGGTTTCTGTGGCGTTAAAGATGAAGCTCTACATGCGTGACTCATATTTAAAGGTTAAAGAAGGTCAGAAAAATGTGTTTTAAAAAATGGGAAATAATATCAATTAAAACATGAAGTTAAAAAGAAAAAAAATAAGAAGAAGAACTCTTGAGGAGGAACAGAGGAAACTGAAGTCTTAACATTTAAAGTGGTTCCAACTGATTGAGTAACGAGATGAAATCGTTGATCATCAATATTTCTCCATGAAACGTCGACACAAGCATCACTTTTTGGCGAGTTCAAAACTAAACTTCTATAAAATCATCAAAACCAAAACACCAAAGGGTTTATTTGTTTATTGCGTCTCTGAGGAGTCTCTTTTTGTCATCAAGTTGTGCTGATGATGATAATTTACCTTTAAAAAGTGAGCGTTTGTGTGGAATTAAGAAAACATCGGCAGCTCAGCGATGGCGCGATTTCCCGCCAAGCGTCGGAATCATGGATTTCTCTTTGTGTTGGACACAATCGCCGCACAGCAGGACGCATGCTTTTCACTGAAACGCCGCCCGTTAGAAGAACGTTGGTGGAATCTCAGCAGCTCTCTGAATTCCATTGAAAGTGTTGTTTTGTGTGTGTGGCAGCTTAAACTGATGCAGAAAATAACACACCCTCCACAGGACTAAGTGGATGTGAGCTGCTCTGAACCTCCCATCTCGCCGCCGCCGCTAATGTGTCCGAGCAGGCGTTTTGTCCGTCTCGTTGGGAGAAGTTGATTTGAAATAATGCTGCTGCAAACGAGAGCCGGCTGTTGGAGGAAGAAGAAGAAGAAGAGGGTCTGAGAGGCGCTGGGAGGAAAAACGTCGTCTTGTGCTGACGTCAGCAATAAACAGCTGTTTAGTCGCCCGGGGTTGGATGTGCAAGTCGTGGTAGAGATTTCATGAATTAGTTATTTTTGTCCGTTTAAATGCTGATAAAGGATCTATGCATGTGTAGAAACAATGGAATGAGCTGTAGAGGTGCTTAAAAGAGATGATTATGCAAAAAAACAGGTGTAATCCTGCAGAAAAATTGCATTTTTGTTGAGTTTGATATTATAATTTAAGGAAAAAATCTTCAAAATGTTGCTGCAAAACTGATAATTTGGTTTGAAATTGCAAGAATCTACGATTAATTTTGCATAATTTGACTTTATGTGCAGGTTTACGTAGAAATCTGCTAAATCTTTCGTCGGAAAACTGTAATTCCACTTTTAGAATTCATGGATTCACCTTTGAGAGGTCGTGTGAGAGGACTTTTTTAATAGATTTTATTTTCTTTACGTTTTTTTATTTTTAATAGATTTTAATTTCTTTATATTTTTTATTTTTTAATATATTTTTATTTTTTAGTATATTTTTAATATATTTTTATTTTCTTTATATTTTTTATTTTTAATATATTTTTTATTTTCTTTGTATTTTTTTAAACACATTTTTCTTTTCTTAATATTATGTTTTAATATATTTTTATTTTTTTAATTATTTTTTTTACTAATAAAAACGCATATCAAACAAGAGCTCAGGTCTTTACAGGCTTCCTGTCACTAACATATTTACACTTTTAAACTCCAGTTGAACAGTTTCATCTGTTAAATATACATGCTAGTTAAAAATTCAATATTTTTTGGACACCATTTAAATATTCTTAATGACATCTTCCTGCGTTTCAAATGTACAGAACAAATTCTATCAGACAAAATGGTAAAACGTCACTAAGCTATGGGGCTGTTTTTGTCCAGCGGTTCAGACTAAACACACTTCCTGCCTGGACGTTGACTTTCCAGATCAAACCCGTCCCTTTCACTAACTCTGGGAGGGAAGAGGTGCCGAGGAGGCAGGAGAGTGAGCACTCGGTCCGTTTGGCTCGCTTTCAGTGTGCAGCTGTTCCAAGCCTTTGTTTGTAAAGCCGAATAAGGAGGGAAGAAGAAGAAAGAAAGAAAAGAGAGGACGGGAAGGAGAGGTGGTGGGACGATGATGAAAGACGCCGGATTAGAGTCTGAGCGACTGATTGTAGAGAAAACACAAAGTCTGAGGTGTTGTTTGTCAAACGTAGTGTTGATTAAAGCCTCTTCTTCTTCTTCTTCTGCTTCTTCTTCTTCTTCTCCTTCTTCTTCTTGTCAGGATAAAGAGGAGCAGTGGATGACCAAGCTGGTTCCGGGAGCCAACGACTTCGCCATGCTGCAGCCGCTGCAGTGGAACACCAGGTACGAGGTGGAGATCACGGCGCGCAACGTCAAGGGCCTGTCGGAGCCCACCTTCTACCAGTTCTTCATGCCGCAGAAGCCCGACATCACAGGTAAAGGCATGAAACTTCCTCCTCCTCATGTCCTCACTTCTACTTTTGTTCCGGTCCAGATGAAGCTCAGCGGGCCTTCGTGGGGTTTCGGGTCCCGCCGAGAAGCACTTTGCTCAGAAGTACAGTTTTTAGCGGCTCATTTTTCTGCCACTTCTTTGTGGCCGAACTCGAAACCTCAATTTGACAGCGACTGCGTTTGGCCACTTATCGGGAGGAAGCAGCGAGCAAACAGAGCAGCAGGACCTGGATCACTGATATCAGGCGCTGACGGGCTTCAGCCAGAAGCTTTTAGTGGTTTTAACGTTCGGACAAACTTTTGAAAGCTTCTGCGGGAGACACGGAGGACGTTATCCGGTTAGTTTAAACCTGCTTTTAGCTGGATTAATCAGATTTGCAGCTCAAATAGGATCTAAACGTGCTCTGATGTGGTCACACAGACATAATTTATTGCTAGATTCTCTGATTTTGATGCTTTTATTTGTGAGTTTTGAGTTTGTTTTGCAGCCTCAAGGACAAAAGATCCAACACTTTCCTGTAAATAAATAAATACAGGAGGCTCTGTAGGTTAATTATCACTTTATATTACCTCAGATTTATCTTTTTATTTCCAATAACATGCCGTATTTCTACAGTGCTGCCACTTTAATCAGCATTATGTTGCTGTACTGGTCTGAAAATGACGTTTTCTTCTTTAAAATTGTCTCTGATTTGCAGAAATACGTGATAAATATCAGTTTCTTTAATCTTTCTGATCCAGATTTCAGATCCACCAACTCAATAAAACGCCTAAAACGATGATTTAATTTACTTTCACTGGTTTCAGAGCGTTTATTCAAAGTGCAGCAAAGTCTCAAGAGTCTGTACATATATTTACTAAAGCAATAATTCAAATATTATTTAGCTTAACATGTGAAAATGTGTCACTGTTTTAAACGGAGCTTCTTCTTTTTTTTAAACTAAAAATAAAAGTAATTTTAAGATCAAATTTTTTTTAAAATACAGATTTCTAATGGTGACATTACTCTGTTTTTACCTGTTTTTGTTATTTTTTCTTTTTTTTTTTCTTTTTTTTCACTTAATACATTTAAAAGAAAAAAAAATAGACATCACCTGTAATTTTTTTTTTAAACAGAAAATGTGTGAAATAAGAGTTAAAAATGGTATACCATGATCAATCATTCATATGTCTAATTTTTCTGTCAAATAACACGAAATATATATATATTCATGATTTTGTTGAATATTTAAATACATTAAAAGAAAAAAAAGTGTCATTTTACAGAAAGAAATAATTATTTTTTGTGAAAATACAGATTCAGATGAGCAACATTGTTCAGTTTGACCACATTTCTTTTAGTTTGTAAATCAATTCTTATTTCGGTTGTTTCACTATTTTTTTTTATCTAAACAGGGAAAAAAAATCCATAAACTGCCGGCAGCCTGTTGACACGTGAACGTTTATTTCCCCTCCGTGTGGACGGAGCCTCTTCATCACTCGTCTCCTCACAAACAGCACAAACGTTGCGATCACGCCGGGGTTCACTTCAAAGCAAACCTGAGCGCAAACACCCCGCGGCCGTCGTTTCCTTCTTCCTTAAACATCATTCTTCTCCCGTCTCCCACCGTCGACTCGTTCCCTCACCTGAAAGAAGCGACTCGGTCACGCGAGTCGCTGCACAAACGCGTTACGACGCCGGTCCTCCTGTTTATCTCCTCCTCTGTGTGTCTTTGTTCGGTCTTAATGTTCCGGAAAAGAAAACGAGGAGGGAATGTTGCGGGAAGCTTCTGCACGTCCTCCGGGCCGCCGCTCATGCAAATGCTCACACGTGTGGCTTTGAAGTGCGTTCGACTTTGATGAACGCGAGAGGAGACACATGAAATGGAAACGCCAGCGCCGGCGTGCCGACCTCACACGTGATCCGGTGGAAAAAAAAAAAAAGGTAATAAATTCAGCCGAGGCGGCGTTTCGAGGGGCCGGCGTTTGCCTCCGTCGTTGCCGAAAAACAAGATTGGGGGAAGCTTCCGGCGGGTCGCTTCGATTGTCTGTCGTCTCTCGTTAGCGGTGCATCGTGGGAAACGGAGAGAGGAGGCGAAACACGCTTCTGCTCTTAATGTGTTTGTTTGAAAAAGGGGCTAAGGAGGCATTAAAGTACAGTCGCACCGGTTTACGGCGTAATAACTCAAACCTGGGGTCCACTTTCATTAAGCAGACGCATCAATCTCAGCATTTCCAAACGTAATTCATTTAAGTAATCTCCAAAGAAGAGAACACAACTCGCATTTTCTGCTCCAGCGCAGTCCGAGTGGATCGACGGCGTTAGATGTGAAATATCTGCCACTCCCGATGGTGGACTCTCATATAAACACCACCTGATGAAAGAAACATCCGCTTGTTTTTCTTTTTCTTTCCTCCGACACAGAAAATCTGTTCAGACTGTATATGAGCCTTCTATCTCTCACCAGCCAATTCCTCTCTTCAATTCTCTCTCTATGTATTATGCATTTGCAGTGTATTGAATTGCCACTGTTCTCCCTCCTCCTCCATCCTATTTTAGTTTGTAACAGGCTGCATAACCTTCCTCCCCTCCTGCTCACAGAGAAGACTTTAAGAAAAACGCCATTGATTGCAACACTGCCCCTGGTTCCTTTTCAATTTACTCTTCTTCCTTCGAGTCTTCTCTCTTTTTTTTTCTTCTTCTTTTAAATCAAAGATTTCTTTTCACCTCCTAAATCACTGCACCGTCTCTCCGCTGCCCTTCCCAATTACAACATCTCTCACACTCGCTGTTTTCTTTTTTTCCTGCCTTGTCAACCATTTTGCATCTCTCTGCTTCGCCACTTTGTTGTTGAAAAGATTTTTTTCTTTTTTTCTTTTTTTTCATCTTGATTGATTTTCTGCCGTCGTGATATTAGGAGTGAATTTAACCATCAAGCGATGCAGACAGCTTCCTGGAGTTGCCGAGCTTTATTTATTTACCATCAGTTTCCAGTCATATTATATATCCTGTAAAGTTCTGCTCCAGCAACAAACTTCTGGGGAACAAAACGCCAGAAACTGCAGTTCCTCGACTGGCCACTCGGGGCTGAGTCGATCCCCATAGACTCCCATGTTAAAATGAGCAACTTTACAGCAGAATTAAACATGTTTACAGCCTGATGCTGTTGATGGGTTTGGTCTCTGGAGTTGATGTCCACGTCCATGTCAGCTGTACCGGGGTTGGAATTTTATACGACTTAACTGTTTTAATTATTTTAAGGCTTAAAGTTGTGCTTGATTAAGAATGTGGCTGCTTGGTGTGGCTTGTGGACGCTATCAACGGACCATTCATTAGCTTTGTTAAGCACTAAAAGGACCACACTGAGCTTCTTGAAGGCTTCCTCCATCTTTGAATGCGGTCTATGAGCTTGAAGCTTGATGAGATGGTTCATGAGTTAGTAAATCTGACCAGAATTAAGCCGGTAACTAGAAAGTAGCGTCAAATTAAGGTAAGATAAAGCGCAGCCACCTGAGCTGGCTTAACACCTCGAATGAATTTAGCAAGAGAAAAACCAAGCTAAACACCTGCCGCCATGACAACCACCAACCTCCTAGGTACCACTGGTGGAGCTACAAACTTCATTCACTCGTGTGTTTTGCTTGTTTGAGGCAGACGGCGTTGCTTGGACTGACTTTTCAGTAAATTTGTTCCGTTTTCTTTTTCCAGTTTTTTTGGTGAAGGCATCTGATAGGTTGTCTGAAGATTCTCAGTCATCCAGGTTGTTCTCGTAGATTAATCGTAGCAGCTACCTGAGTTCCTTGAAGACGTTCCACCTCTCATCCAAGAGGCTTCATCAGTTCTGACTGACTAGTTGGGAGTTCCAGGTATTGAAATCCTTAAGGAACCGTTAACACCTGAGTTTCGGATGAGAGATGGAACATCTTCAGGGAACTCAAGCAGTTGCTACGATTAATCTACCAGAATATCTGATAGGTCGTTGGTTGGTCTTGTCAGTCTAAAGAGAATCCAGCTACCTTGCAAGACGACTCTGAAGCAGCATCGAATTAAAGTAAAAACAGTGCAGCCACCTCAACTGAGTGAACAAATTAGCTTCTTTAGCACAAGAAGCTAAATACCCGCCCGCATGACAACCAGCCTCCTCCATACCTCTGGTGGAGCTTCAAAGTTCATTCATGCTTGTTTATAATAAATGAGCTCGCCTCCAGTAACTTGCTTGAATATGTCTGATTGGAATCAACTTTTCTGTAAATTTCGTCAGTTTTTTGGCATGTATCTCATTGCTTCTGACTCAGATTTAACGAGCAAATATCTAAACGGAAAACAAATTACCTGTACAAACCTTGAGCCTTAGACAGCTCTCCATTAGCATCATCAAAACTCCTTCAGAGGAGTTTTATCCCTTCAGAAGAGCTCAGAGACGATCGATGCTAAAGAGCTTTGAAGCTGTTCTTCTCAAGACCTCAGATGTGTCCGACCAACAAATAAAAACCGATGCGTACTCGCTGACTGAACCATTAGAATCACCCTTAACGGATCATGTTAACGTCGGCTTTCGTAAACAATTCGATCTCTCAACACCAACTAAAAATCCTGACAATCAGACGTGATGAGGCCTAAGTTGCAGTTTGTTGAGATTCTTTCTTGGCTCTTTGCTTCCACTATGCGCCATAAAAAATTCAAATTAAAACAAGCTTTGATGGAAACATAGATGTTTGTAATAATCTCGTCAAAGCACTTGAAAAAGTAATCTAGACTCCTCTCCTGTGAGCTCGAGAGAAACTTTTTTTTTTCTTTTTCCTGGAAGTGATGCCAGCAAATCATAATAGGAAACGAATACTTTTATAGCTGCCCATTACATTAATCAAGTCCCTCATCAATTTTCAAAATGAAAGTCATTATTTTTAAAGCAGTAGGCTTTATAAAAATGTGAGTCATTCGGAGTTAAGGCTACCTGAGGCCAACACTTTTTGCTTTTATTTTTACGACGCTGGATAAATCTGA